AGATAAGAACCATTCAGCCCATCTAGTCTGCCCAATTTTCTAAATTCTTTCATTAGTCCCTGGCCTTATTTTATAGTGAGGATAGCCTTAGTCCTATCCCACGCATGCTTAAACTCCTTCACTGTGTTAACCTCTACCACTATGGGTTAGTGAAGGCTATTCCGTGTATCCACTACTCTTTTTATTTTTTTGGGAGTATATCAACTAGATTGTTAAAAAAAAATTTTTTAAGTGTTCCTTTAATAGATTTTTTTTCCTAGAATAACTTTTTTCCTTTAAAGAAACACTATAGGGTCAGAAATACAAACATGTATGTGACTTGCCGCCCCTTAAAAGGTAATAAAACTTACCTTCTTTTTCTGCACTGGGCTTGCCCCCTATTCTGTTTGCTGACATCAGAATTTATGATTTTTGGGAAAGCATTGAATTGGTTGAAATCGGCAAGGAGGTGGGACAGGGGCGGGGCCAAATGCAGACTTGGCCAGTCAACACCTCCTACTAGAGATGCAGTGAATCAATGTATCTTTATGAGGAAAGTTCAGCATCTCAGTGCTGTACAACCCAGAAGGCACCTGTAGTGGCCGTTTGGAGACGCTGAATGGCAGTGCTGCCCCAGGAAGCACCTCCAGTGGTCCTATGAGGAGTGGCCACTGGGGATGTCCCTAGAGGGCAATGTAAACACTGCCTTTGTGCCTGCAGGGAATGATTATACTAACCAGAACAAATACATAAAGCTGTAGTTGTTCTGTTGACTATAGTGTCCCTTTAAAGGACCACTATAGTGCCTGGAAAACACTCGTTTTCCTGGCACTATAGTGCCCTGAGGGTGCCCGTACCCTCAAGGTCCCCCTCCCGCCGGGCTGGGTGGAGAGGAAGGGGTTAAATATTTTTTTCCAGCGCCTGGGCTCCCTCGACGGGGGTAACTCTCCTTTCCCCGTCATTGGCTGAATGCGCATGCACGGCAAGAGCTGCGCGCGCATTCAGCCAGTCTCATAGGAAAGTATTCACAATGCTTTCTTATGGACGCTGGCGTCTTCTCACTGTGAAAATCACAGTGAGAAGCGCGGAAGCCACTAGAGGCTGGATTAACCAATTTGTAAACATAGCAGTTTCTCTGAAACTGCTATGTTTACAGCAAAAAGGGTTAAACCTAGATGGACCTGGCACCCAGACCACTTCATTAAGCTGAAGTGGTCTGGGTGCCTATAGTGGTCCTTTAATTTAGCAAGTGACTAAATAATCCTGTTCAGACAAGGCAAATATTGTAAATGAGGAAGAGAAATAAATACATTTGTTGGATGTTATTTTTTTGGACTTAAGTCGCCTACACAAACTGCTTAAGGTTGTAGAAATACTCATTTTATTGCTTGGGTATAACATTGAGAGCATGTTCTCACGTTCTTTATTCTTGAGTGAAAAAAATAATTGCCTAGTGAAGACATTTTTGTTTAGAATGGCACATGCTTTCATCTTTGTGATTATTTATTATTTAACGGCAATAAACACACATAAAGGGTCTTAACATGGTATAGCTTGCAGAAAAGATGAGATAGGGGACGACGATATGATAGAAACATTTAAATACATAAAAGGAATCAACACAGTAAAGGAGGAGAGTATATTTTAAAGAAGAAAAACTAGAACGACAAGAGGACATAGTCTTAAATCAAGGCAAAGTTTAAAACTATCAGTATTACTTTACTTAGAGAGTAGTGGATGAAGGGAATAGCCTGCCAGCTGAAGTGGTAGAGGTTAACATGGTGAGAGTGAGTAGGCATGCGTGGGATAGGCATAAAGGGTATCTTAGATATAAGATAAGGTCAGGGACTAATGAAAGTATTCAGAAAATTGGGCAGGCTAGATGGGCCGAATCTTTATTTTCTGCCTTCACATTCTGTTTCTTTTTTGTGTGTTAAATTTTGCTGTTACTTTTCCCCATGAGACACCGGTCCAATTCATGAGACTTTCCATTAGAAACAAGAAAATCTAATCTACCCTCACTCAACCCCAATTTCAAGCAGATTCAAAATACCTTTTGAAAGTTGGTTCATCACATATACAGGTTATACATAATACTGTATAATCAATGGAAGGAGGTACATATTATTTACCCTACATTGCCAAGCTTCTCTGTATATCTCTCATTTAAAATGGATATATATTTTTTTTGTTACCATACTAAAGATGGCTTTATTAACTATTTTTCGGCCAGCGTTGCCAAGAGTAAAATATGAGTGGAATGGACGTTTGGCCCCAAAGCAGGTGTACCCAACCAAATGATTCATTGCACATATATTGCAGCCTGCTGCTCTAGCCCCCTCCATTCTGTCTTTCAGGGACAGGTAATGTCTTCTTGCCAAAAGAAAATCTGGCTTCTGTGTTGTAAGTTCCCGCGAGAGTCCCCCTGCCTTGCATGGAGAGAGGCAGCACAGCCACTCTGAAAGGTTGGCAGACACTCCATAGAACATTGCAGTAGAAAGCAGAGTCTGTCTGGCAGTGTAGCTGTGCCAAGAGGAGATTAATGTACAGACCTGCACGCAAAGTGATGGGTGTTTTTTTTTGTTTTTTTTTGAAGGACAGACAGTCGTCGTCCCTGGCCCTTAGGACTATATTGCTTTGGATGTGCTAAACCTGGCTGTTTTGGATTCTGGGATGCCCAGATAATTAAAACACTGCAGGGGATGAAAAGATGATATTCTAAGCTTTAAAAAAAAAAAAAAAAAAGCAAGCTTTTTGCACGAAGAAGCAAATACCAGGTTATCTATGATCATGCCTTATTTTTTTTTTTTTTTTTGGCTCACTGATTTTGCTGTCTTTGAGAGGGGGATTTGCTTCAAATGACATAAATTACATCCCTCTGAGCCAGAAAATGTAAATTTAGTTATCAGCCCTATGGGTAAAGAGATCAAATCCTTGCAAGCCTGCTTCAATTTCACTGTTTGGACTAAAGTGCTGTGTGTGTGTGTGTGTGTAAACATACACAATTTTTGTTGTTTTGTTTGTTTTTACACTCAAATTTGCTTTGTAACCCCCTTTTTTTTGTGGTGTGCATCACTGTGCACTACACAGTGGCAGGGTACTTACATGATGCACTAACTCCCCTTTCTGGAACATGTAGCTACCATATGGTCTAAACAGCAGTTTGACATTTGCAGGGTAATTAGGAGCTGCTTAGTTGATTAATATTTTCATGCCTATCTGTGTTTTTCATTCTCCTCCTAGCTGTACCCATGTATCGTTGCCCAGTGCAGAACCCACACACAGTAAGGAAAGCAGCACTGTTTATGAAGCAGCTAATTATTTTTAAACACAGCCATGGTACTAAGAATAAATAGTTCCCCCATCCAGAAAGGAGTGAAATGAGTTATATAATAATCCAAATCAAAACCTGTATTAGTGGTGACACTGCTTTTATGTTGCTGGAGGTTTTCTGTCACCAAGTGGGCATGCAAAAGCCAGATCTCTCAAGGCTCTGGAGTCCAACAGCAACCTTCTAGGGGTTGTTGTACACCAGCTCCTGTAATTCTGTTAGCGATTGGTTCAACAATATCTTCAGGGATGTCCTTGGAGACCTGGATAACAGAATTTGCCAAATGACTCCAAGACTATCCAGAATATAGTAGGTTTTGGCAGCCAGCTGTTCGTAGATACAATGCCCGTTGTCCTCTGTCAGCTAAGCTTCATTTATGTGTTATCAGGCTATATCTACAATCAAAAAAACATAAAAAAATATATATATATAACGAGGGGGTTGGCTGCACTCACCTTAACATGCATAAATATGGGTGCTGCTGGGGGTCAAATAATACAATACACAAGATCCAGCGCACTCACCTATTCACTAAACAGCAACTTCAATGTTGAAAGATTTTATTAGTTTTTTTTAAAAACACCTAATCTAGGCAAAAATAATGGGGGTTTAGTTACATTATATGATCATACATTGCATAAGCCTGCCACAACGTCAATGTACCCCATCTTTGGCAGGTCCTACACTAACAGCCTAATGTCTGCTCACCCCCTCTTGTTTCATATATATGTATATATATTTGGGAGTCTAGCCAACTCCTTGGTTTTGCACCCCTCCCTGTCACAGGTGCCTCATCCCAGGGCCCTATTTAGCCTTGTACTGCAGAGAGCCCCAGATGGAATTTTTTTTCCCCCAAGTAGTTTAATCTCATAAGAGCAGACATTAGGCTGTTAGTGTAGGACCTGCCAAAGATGGGGTACATTGACGTTGTGGCAGGCTTATGCAATGTATGATCATATAATGTAACTAAACCCCAATTATTTTTGCCTAGATTAGGTGTTTTTAAAAAAACAAATAAAATCTTTCAACATTGAAGTTGCTGTTTAGTGGATAGGTGAGTGCGCTGGATCTTGTGTAATATATATATTGCATGTGTTGTAAGGTAGCTGTGGACACTAAAATTAAGTGTTGGAGAATGAATGGCTGTTTACAGATCCCTGAAAGACTCTTCATTCCACACAAATATTGTGATGTTCTGTTTTTTGTACATGTAACTTCAAGGTAGAACCAGAATAATCCCAACTATGGACATAGGTCTGAGCAAGGGCTGCTAATTAATGGCCATTAGTGATGTCCCGAACGGTTCGCCGCAGACTCATCTTTGAGTAAACTTTGACCCTGTACCTCACAGTCAGCAGACACATTCCAGCCAATCAGCAGCAGACCCTCCCTCCCAGACCCTCCCACCTCCTGGACAGCTCACTAAGAATGCAGCTTCACAATGAATGTAAAATGGATGCTGTCCAGGAGGTGGGAGGGAGGGTCTGCTGCTGATTGGCTGTAATGTGTCTGCTGACTGTGAGGTACAGGGTCAAACCTTACTCAATGATGAGTCCGCGGCGAACCGTTCGGGACATCACTAATGGCCATCTTTGAATATAACTTGCTTAATTTATTTTAATCAGATATTTACATTGTGCTATAAAATACAATATTGTTTTGTATTCTAGGTGAAACAAAGGACATTTTATGATAATGAAAATAAAGAAGCAAGAGCAACAGGTTGGTAATGATTTTGTTAATTGGACTTTATTTTTATTTTTTAAATTTTTCACTAAATTGCTTGTATTTTTTTCATTAAGATATTGTTTACTGGATACTTTTCTTATAGATTTCTATCTGTATCATTTTAAGACAGAACAGGAGTTTTAGACTAAAAGCAAATTCTACTCATTGAGGATGCATAGTCCAGTGAGAAAATATGGTAGTAGGCGATAAGGTTGAACATTCTTTGTTAACAAAACAAATGTAATGTAGATATAGATAATAGCTCCACCCAATACAAAGGGACAACCAAAATATGCATTGGAAAATTTGACATCTTATATTGTTGTTCATTGATTAAAGGAAAACACTATAGTTTAGGAATACGAAACTGTACCTTTTAACCCTTTAATTCCAGCGCCAAGCTCTCTCAACGCTGGCTTGGGTCTCCTCCTCCCACAACGCCATGCCGATGGAGGAGCTCTCAACATGCGCTGCGAGCACCCAGCCCGCTTCAGAGCTCCCCTACAGGAAAGTATTGAATCAGTGCTTTCCTATGGGGATTTTGAACACGCTGGATGTCCTCATGCATTTAACAACATTTCACAGAGACAAACTCTGTTAGAAGCCAAGAAGTGACTCTAGTGACTGTCTGGAAGACAGCCACTTGAGTTACAAAAAACAGGATACCCGGCACACTAGTCCCGCCCTACAAGGCGGACACCTAACTGGCAGGTGGTCTGTGCAAACGGACACCACAGATCCGCTAGGCAATCAAAAAAGTAGAGTGCATGTGCTACACTCCGAGATTCTGAGGATGTAAGTTTATTTAAGGGTACACAATTAAGGCTCTTGGGAGACGAAATGTTGCATTGTTTTGTGGAATGGCATACCCTTATGTGAACTTACATCATCAGAATCAGAGTGTAGCCAGTAGAGGTTTTCTTAACCTTGCAATGTAAACATTGCAGTTACTCTGAAACTGCAGTGTCTTTTACTTGATGGCTTAAAGGGACAGGAGCACTGCAGTCCCAAAAAACGAAGTACAATATAGTAATGTATGTATAAATCAAAGTTGAGATGTTGTAAATTTTGCCTTTTAATCCCTTCTAGAATGTGTATGGATATAGATTCATTCTACTATTAAGTGTCTCCCAGGAACTTTTCAGTGCATAAAAATCATGAATCCTGTAGTGTCACAAATCTAAGCTTATGTGAGGGAGTCTGGCTTTGTTCATAATAGACGTTTATGATGTACGGTAATATGCCCCATAAAGGATTTAGTCCCCACAATATTAATAGTGTGGATTAAAAAAATAATAATATTGGTACAAGGTATAAAAAAAAGCATAAAATTCTACTACTGTGGCTTTTTCAAAGTGTTCTACTGATATAGTGTTTATTAGTGATATTGCAGAAGGTCTTGATGGTAAGGTATGTCTTTTTGCTGATGATACTAAGATATGTAACAGGGTTGATGTTCCAGGAGGGATAAGCCAAATGACAAATGATTTAGGTAAACTAGAAAAATGGTCAGAATTGTGGCAACTGACATTTAATGTGGATAAGTGCAAGATAATGCATCTTGGACGCAAAAACCCAAGGGCAGAGTACAGAATATTTGATAGAGTCCTAACCTCAACATCTGAGGAAAGGGATTTAGGGGTGATTATTTCTGATGACTTAAATGTAGGCAGACAATGTAATAGAGCAGCTGGACATGCTAGCAGAATGTTTGGTTGTATAGGGAGAGGTATTAGCAGTAGAAAGAGGGAAGTGCTCATGCCATTGTACAGAACACTGGTGAGACCTCACTTGGAGTATTGTACACAGTACTGGAGACCGTATCTTCAAAAGGATATTGATACTTTAGAGAGAGTTCAGAGAAGGGCTACTAAACGGGTTCATGGATTGCGAGATAAAACTTACCAGGAAAGGTTAAAGGATCTTAACATGTATAGCTTGGAGGAAAGACGAGACAGGGGGGATATGATAGAAACATTTAAATACATAAAGGGAATCAACACAGTAAAGGAGGAGACTATATTTAAAAGCAGAAAAACTACCACAACAAGAGGACATAGTCTTAAATTAGAGGGACAAAGGTTTAAAAATAATATCAGGAAGTATTACTTTTACTGAGAGGGTAGTGGATGCATGGAATAGCCTTCCAGCTGAAGTGGTAGAGGTTAACACAGTAAAGGAGTTTAAGCATGCATGGGATAGGCATAAGGCTATCCTAACCATAAGATAAGGCTAGGGACTAATGAAAGTTTTTAGAAAATTGGGCAGACTAGATGGGCCTAATGGTTCTTATCTGCCGTCACATTCTATGTTTCTATGTTTCTATGTTTCTATAGCTGAGGCAAGTGGCAGAGGAGACAGCATAATCATTACGATTACCAGGAAGGGGCATAACTAAAGGAAAAAATGATGACGCTTTAAGAATATTTTTCTTCATTAGCAGTATTACATATAACACTTCTAAAGCTCTCAATGAGACTAAATATCATTATTTTGTGTCAATAAATCTTATTGTTAATCCTAATTGTCTCTGACTATATTACATATGATGAACTAGAGAATAATCTGAGGAGTCTAAATATGCTCCACCAGATGCTTATTGGACAACTTAATTAGTTATTGAAAGAATATGACTTGTCAAGAACAAGGAGTGGTGGACCTCGATTTTTTTAGTGCATGGGTGCCCAAAAGGTAGATCCCCAGATGTTTTAAAGCTACAGCTTCCATGATTCTTTGCCATTCTAAAGGCATGCAAACAAAGCTTAATAGAGGTTGTAGCTCTACAACATCTGGTAATCTACATTTTGGGCACCCCTGCTTTAGAGTGTGGCTTATACTTCCCTCACCACGACCTATAACTTGTCATTCACAGTGCAAGCTGCAGAATAATTTCATCTGTCAATCCTGTCCTTCTTTTTGCTTTAGATAATAAATTAATTAATTTTCATCCTATTGTGCATATCAGTGAACCACTGCATGCATCTGCTGTGTTTTGGATGAAGGGACAGATAAATCCATGCATTATGGTGTAGGCAAGGGCAAGATCTGCGTAAAATTAATATTAAAGTAGGGACTGCCTAGAATACCTAATTCAGGATGCATCCTCCTCCTGCTGTAGGAAACGGTAAGGGTCAGAAGTGCATACTCACGCACTGCTGTCTTGCATTTCAAAAGCTCCCAACATTGACTGCATAGCAAACATTTTATGAAATAGCTTTGCAACCTTTCAGTCTTACGACAATTCTATATACACTGCCTGCATTCCAATTGGTTCAGAGGCAGAACCCTCCAGAATGTACCAGAGAGTCTGCTGCTGCAAAGCAGTGCTCATTTCTGCTGATGCAGTCTTTGTAAGAATGTCTCTCCAGAGAGACTGGGATGTCATTTTGATCCCTCTGTAAAACCCAGCTTTTGGACTTTCTACTGGCTACAGTGTTATCATAAAGCTCTTCTCTGCCAATAGGATGTCTTCGTTTGTCCTGTAACCGCAAAATAAAGCTTAAAGAGACACCGCAAGCACAATAGCCATCTATGTTCCTGGCATAGGCTGCTTTGCATTGCACTCCCAGTTCATTCTGTCTTTCTGTTCAGTAGAGCTGTAATGATATACAGAAACTGCCGCAGCTACATGCTTATCCCTCCGCTTCCTGTTAGCATTGTAGGCTGCTATTTCACATCACATGGAGATACTCTCTAATATCACAAAGGAAATAGCTTATAAAGCATTTGCACTCTATACAAGTCCTGATTAATTTGTAAGCAGCCCGTATAGCAACTGTGCATACAGGCCTTCCTCAAGCTACGGCATATAGAGTGTTTGACTAGAAACCAAAGCGAGTAGCTTTGTATATTAAAACAAAACCACACTGGGATATTCCTGGTAAACCCGGAATTTGTAAAGAGTCGCCAGAGTATTACTTGTATTTGGCTAGAATAGGTAGAAAATTCTTTCAAATCAATTTTTTCTAACATTTGTAGTTTCCTGGTTTTGTTTAGCAACTCAATGCTAAGCCACGCAGTAATGAACATATACTTCAGAGTTTTATTTTTACCTCTTCTTTTTATTCTTCTCCGTAGTTGAACAGTAAATTCCCGCTGGCCACGCGGATTGCTGTTGCATCACTGCAGTCGCTAGGAAGCCCGAGAACTCTGGCTGCATAGAGGAAGAAGAAACCGGAAAGCAGTGTCTTTTGGGAGTAGCAAGGATTTTAAAATGAAGGTCTGTTTTTAACAACATTTCTAACTCTTGACTGAAAATGGCAGTAGCTACAGTGATGCGGTCATTCACTAAACCAAGAATTATCGGGGACTGGCCAGGGGATTTCATATTGTTGGCTACATTTTACAAATTAACCACGTTGGCTTTCCCCCCTCCCCAGCTTGACTGTGTTGACTTAAAATTTGCAATTCACTTGTCAATACACCACGATTCCCAGTTTATTGAATAATTCTATTGTATAGTACGATGTGCTTTGTGGAAGCTGGTTAAAAAATATAATGTAGATATAAAGAGACCTTTAAGCAGTGTCTTCTCTGTTAAAGGGACACTCCAGGCAGCTAAACAAGTTAAGCCTAAATTAAAGCTAATAAGTTCAAAATACCTGTTTTTAGTTTCTCTTCTTCCAATTCTGTGTAGTTTTCCTGCAGTGCTGTAAAATGTTTTGCTCTTTTCAGCAGTGTAACCCAGCCTCCTTAGCCTTCCCCTTATCATATTTCTACATGTTCCTGATTCCCAGTCTCTGAAAGAAACGTACCTTTTGCAGCCAATGAAAATAGAGGAGTGTCTTCTGTAGTGTAAGGAATGCTCGCAGCACATATTGCACTGTAGAGATAAGGCTAGAGCCCATATGCCCTCCTCTCCCTCCCTCCCTCCCTGAAATGCAAGTAATAAAATCTCCAGCCAACCTCCTTTCCCTGCCAGCCCATCTCACTACCCACTGTTAACCTATTCCCCTCCAGCCAAATAAATAGAGATCTAGATTGACAGAGATCTAGATGGACCGATAGATACATATATAGATAAAGAGAAATAGGTAGAGATATTGCCTGGGAATATTCCCATGGATTTAAAAAAAAAAAAAAATCATTTTACTGAATGTTGTCTTTACTTTTTCTCTCACTAATAATGACGGCTATTTATTGCTTTTCTTTTTCTATGTGCAGAAATGTACAGTGGAGCCTCAGAACTCGAACTTAATCAGGTTCCGATTTGTTCGCGAATTGGATCAACATTTCCCATAAGAATTAATGTAAATTTGATTAATCCGTTCCAGACCCCCAAAATTAAGTCATTTTAACACAAATGTTACAGTTTAATAATGCCTTACATGCATAACACAGTGTACAGTAAATTAAATGAAAATGTAACTTCACTTTACGTAATGATGAGAGTTAATGGCATAAGTGGAAAGGAGAAGAGATCTTGTTTGGATGGGGATAGGTAACTGTTCTTCTGGCATTTAAAATGTGTCTAAAGTGTATCTAATTGAAGGTGTTTGTGGCATGCTTTGTTTAGGTACAGAGGATCATTCGTGTACCGAGACCTTTTTTTTTACTCAAAATTTTTGTTCAACTTTCGAATTATTCGAGAAAGGGACCGTTGGATTTCCGAGGTTCCACTGTATTTGTAAATTGGCATGTTAAAGGGCGACTGTCACTTGTCAAACTTTTTTAATATTCTTTTAAATTATCTGTTTAGTAAATAAAATTGAATTTATAAATCTAAATATCCTTTTCCTGCAATTGGACACCTCCATAATAGCTCCCTGTCAATAATTGTTACATTGTTATAAAGTTTGTCCTTTGCACCTGGCAGTCAGACCAGAGATTGTATAGAGAAGAGGAGAGATGGACAATGTTACTATTTCTTCTCACTTATGTTTGCCCTGGCTTTGTCTTGCCTGAACTGGGTTATGATGTAATTTGCTAAATTTTATTTTAAATGAAAATGGAGCATCTCGTGAAAAAAGGTTAACAGAAGTTATAGGTGAGTTTCAGTGTTATATTAATTGGCTTCTCCCGTTAGTGTTTCTAATTTCCCGGAACTATGTTGCAGTTCAACAATTGTAGGTAACCAATTGGGGCTACCCTAATGTCACCTGCCTTAAGGAATGAATTGGTAGCATGATAATGCTAGATCCAAATGCACACATCCACATTGGCTCTTTTTCTCTGACAGTGAGTTCATTCAATGAAACTGACAAAGTCAGAAAAAGCTGTAGGGGGAATAATGGAGTTGCATAACCCGATTTTGCTCACTGAGTTTAAGAATTGTTTGTAGATCTGCCATTTCTAGCTAAGGTAAAACGCCATATCTTGGCAAGTTTCCTTGGGTTAAGTAACTCTCAAATGCATTTTCTATTAAACTTTCATGGAAGGATCCTGCAGAGTTTTCTGATCTGGCTGTAAGTGAAAGTACTGCAGAAAGAAAATTGGATCTCAGTGTTCTTTGTAAATAACATAATGTGTAGGAAATGAATGAGATCCACATTATTCTGCACCCCAAGTTCTACTTTCTCTAGTGGTTCACATATAGCTACATTTTTACCACATACAATGTGACCTTACCCCACCCTTTCTTTGTTAGGACTAGTTGGTAGTTAAAAACTTGTTTAGGTATTTATTTATTTTTTTGTATGTGTATATATGGATTAGTCATTTTTTTAAAATTAGACCTGTCATGGTCAATTTAAAAGAAGCCGGAATAGGCTTTTTTCCCCTCAGTAATCTATACTGTTTTCGAACTACTTTGAAACATTAGTATAGGAGAAAAGGGAGGAAACCGCGCCTTACATAAATTATATATACATACACTTGATGTCTCTTAGTAGTTTCGGATAATTTATCCTCGAAAAGAAAACAGAAAGAGTATATACAATAGTGTAGTATGTTAAATAATATTAGGAAAAAGTGATAAATAAAACGGAGGTATTTTTCACTCACATTTGGTAGAGCTACTGTGGGAGCTCTACCATAATTGGCATGGACGGTACCATCCCCGTCTTAGGATAAGAAGTCCAACGTCTTAGGTACTCCAATGGTGTAGTAGTGCAGATAAAAATGGAAAACAAGAAACTCCAATAGTGTAATAGTTCCAACTCCAAGTATAAATGGATAAATAGAAATATATATACTCACATTTACTAGAGCAGAAAACTTGCTCTAGTTTATAAGGCTTGCAGTGGTATAATCCCCACTGTAGGATATACAGGCCAGGAAGTAAGATGGTGCAAATAAAATATAATAAAATGGAATATAGCTTTAAAAGATATATATTTAATAATGTATCAAACAGAATAAAATAAAAGCTATATAAAATATATATAGCTTTTTATATAGCTTTTATTTTATTCTGTTTGATACATTATTAAATATATATCTTTTAAAGCTATATTCCATTTTATTATATTTTATTTGCACCATCTTACTTCCTGGCCTGTATATCCTACAGTGGGGATTATACCACTGCAAGCCTTATAAACTAGAGCAAGTTTTCTGCTCTAGTAAATGTGAGTATATATATTTCTATTTATCCATTTATACTTGAAGTTGGAACTATTACACTATTGGAGTTTCTTGTTTTCCATTTTTATCTGCACTACTACACCATTGGAGTACCTAAGACGTTGGACTTCTTATCCTAAGACGGGGATTGTACCGTCCATGCCAATTATGGTAGAGCTCCCACAGTAGCTCTACCAAATGTGAGTGAAAAATACCTCCGTTTTATTTATCACTTTTTCCTAATATTATTTAACATACTACACTATTGTATATACTCTTTCTGTTTTCTTTTCGAGGATAAATTATCCGAAACTACTAAGAGACATCAAGTGTATGTATATATAATTTATGTAAGGCGCGGTTTCCTCCCTTTTCTCCTATACTACTGTTCTAACAAGGCTGGGAATCCTTGTATTTGTTACTGCTGCCTATTTTATTGTTTATTCTTTGGAGTGAGCACCTGACACATCTCTTCTTTTACTTTGAAACATTGAACATATTGATGTTGACAAGTTTACATTCAACTGTTGGAAAAATACAATCTGATAGTCAATGTGTGTTCTTGCCTAATAAGCAGCATTTATAGGTTTGATATGGTTTACATGTCTTTGAAATGTTTTTGTTTGTTTTACTTCTTTTTGACCATTTTTATTTTGCTAATGTTGATCTTTTTTTTTGTTATCAATTGTAGCTCCCCAAGCTGAAAGCACTTAGCTACTCACCAATGTCCAGTGCCTCGATATCCTGCGAACATGCTGTGCTGACTCCTTATTCGGACTCCAGTACCCAGGATTTTCACCCAGTAACACTTCTTGATACCCCCACCCGGCTCCTGGCTGATAATGACTTGTACACTGGTGGCGGGGATGATACCTGTGATCTTAACTCTCTGACTAATCTTAATGGTATGGAGGACAGTGGAGGGGGTGGGACGGGAGTAAAGAAGAAACGTAAAAAAAAGGAGCTTGGAGAGGAGAAGGCGGTTAAACCAAAGAAGAAGAAGGAGCCCAAGAAAGTCAAAGAGCCTAAAAAAGCCAAGGAGCCAAAAGAGCCCAAGGAACCCAAGCAGCCGAAGATCCCCAAGGAACCTAAAAAGCCTAGGAAACCACGGGAACCTAAACCTCCTAAAGAGAAGAAGGGAAATCCAGATTCATCTGCCAAAACCAAACCCAAGAAAACAAGGTGAGCCTATTCTATTAGATGATAAAAGCACTAAAGCCTTGTTCTCATGATAATTTATATTTTATATGCAGGTTTCCTACTTATGTTAAATACGTTCTGTGGTGTTGGTAGATTTTAAATATTTGTTGTCACAGTAGTAGTACTGTATTAGATGTATATCAGAATGGCTATAACATATTGTACAAGAATTTTTTTTTTTTTTTTTTTATTTGAGTAAACTGCCGTCAGGATAAGACTGGCATACGAAGACAGCTAAGAATCCACAGTACTGCAGAAACCAGATTTAATTCTTAATTCCCATCACTTCTTAAACCTGCAGTCTCCAATATAGGTAACCGTGGAAGCCTGTATCCATTGAAAGGCTATATTAGTCACCAATTATGCAATATCATGCCTACAGGAACAGGTAGAATGTATGTTTGCACTTGGGCTCCATGCAACCACAGGGTGTCCTAGTATCCATTGACCTTTCTAATATAATGTAGCGAGAAGTTGTGGAAAGTTAATAGACTTACGTAATGTAAGAGTCAGATTGATAATACTCTCCTTGATCATAGTGATCCTCAGGGCTTCTTTTTTACACTTTTTTGTGTGTTTCTTTGTGTTACTACTGTACTATTGGATGTATGTTTTACTGTTCTCAACAAAGAAACCAAAGAATTGTATTTCATTTTTAAATATAGGTGAAGTATCTTGAGCAATTTGCACTTGGTGGATATCCTTAATTACTTCACAGCATCTCTTGGTGATAATTTCAAGTGCAAAACGGTTTTAATAAGGACTAATGGGTTATACTGAAGTGTTTGTCTGCATTTGCGATGGTGTAATTTATTATATTTAAAATTAAATTCTTGTCCCCTCCCCTCTCCCATATTTTATAATGGACATAATGATTGACATATGTCAATAGGGGGATGTGGTAAAAACAGTGTGTGATAGACTTTAATTGTGGTGGCATCTTCTTATACCATATAGTATAGCGCACTGTGAAAGCAGAGCACCATTCACAAATGGTTCATCATTATTTATAAAATATAGAACTGAGCAAAATTACTCCCTTTTGCAAAAAGCTCAGTTGGACCTTTCTTTAATGGTTGCATCTTAGCAAATGACTGTTTTGACGACTGTATAAAACTGACTTTGACTTGAGGTTTATGATCTGAATTACTATTTTATATGTTTGATTTAAAAATATTCCTCACAGATATGTCCACTTTTAAAGACTGTTGGTTATTAGTTGCAATAGATATAAAGATTTGTTTGTAGAATCATACTAAAACTACAATATTCACATAAACACAGGGCTAACTTTTTAATGAACCAACAGTTAGGTTTAAATCCCTGTCTGCTCGATTTGACCGCTTGCAAATCATGATCTTTCATTGCCCTGGATAGTAAGGAATGATTTGATATCATTGTGAGGAGCATAAACTCATTGAAGAATCCTGTGTATAATGAGCACATTATCATTCTTTAACAAGCTACTCTTTTTAGATGTGGTGGCATTCACACGATAATTCAAAACAAAAAATGTATCTGTCTCTTGGGTAATAACACTGCTTGCAAAATGTACAGTAAGCAAGATATTGATGCAGTCCTCAGCAAACCATGCAAAGTCATTTTTATTTCAAAATAATATAACAATTTGTATCTTATTTCATATGCAGGGCCAGTTTTTTAAATTTTTTTACTTTTTTTTTTTTTTTTAAATCACTTTCTGGATTTTTAAAAAAGAAATCTCTACATAAAAATCTACAATTGGGGTAAAAGTAGAGGCAAAATTAATTGTACAATGGCAAATCTTTGCACACAGTGGGAGAGATTTATGTAATTGTTCTGCTCTAAAAAAAATAAAATAAATGAATAAAATGGTGCAAAGTAGAAAAATGGGTTAATGACCAAGGAAGCCATTAGAATCATTGGGCACATGTAAGGCTAGGGACTCTTCCCCTAAATCCATACCCCCTTAAATGCACTTTATATGAAGAAATTGCAAATCTCTATATTATTAAGCATCAACATATTCTGCAGCACTGTACAGTTGGGGGAAGAGACCGCATGATATAAATAGGCCAATAGAAAAGATTGAGTGCCCTGCCTCATACAAAGTATTTAGTTTAACTATACCAAGACCATGGACTTTTGTGCAGTGCCAATTGTTGGTTAAAGGGACACTATAGGCACCCAGACACCTTCATCTCATTGTCCCTGTCCCCTTAGCCATTCAATGTAAAACAAGGGGAGGTGTGTGTACTGCTTAGTTCTGCTAATATTTTAAGTTTAGTCGAAGTTGTCTAAAGCCTAACTGGCAGGAGACTCTTTTGTTTGTTTTGTGATAGTTGACATTTTTGGGGTAATATGTTAAGGAGCCAAACAGACTCCTTAAAGTGAATCTTACAGCATCTTTGTCAGAATTAGCTGATTGTGTATTTAGCCCCACATTGTAAACTTAAAGGGACATTATAGTCACCAGAACAACTACAGCTTATTGTATTTGTTCTGGCGAGTATAATTAATCCCTGCAGGCTTTTGCATGGAGACACTGAACTTTCCTCATAGAGTTGCATTGATTCAATTCATCTCTATGAGGAGATGCTGATTGTCCAGGGCTGTGTCTGCCCCAATCTGCCTCCTAGACATTCTGAGCCAATCCTTTACTATCTTTTATGGGAAAGCATTGTGAATGGCTCAGATCACCACTTCTGATGTCAGCCAAGCAGGCAGATCAGGGGCAGAGCCAGGTTCAGCAGACTGGGATAAGATTTAAGATTTTACTATATTTATGGGGACCGGGAGGGAGGGTAGGGAGGGAGTAGATGGTGGTTTTAACACTACAGAGTCAGGAATACATGTTTGTGTTCCTGACTCTATAGTGTTCCTTTAAATTATTTAAAAGAAATATATAGTAATTCAAGCATTCAGCATTCTATTCATTTATATACATATATATATATATATATATATATATATATATATATATATATTTTTTTTTTTTTTTAGGGTAGAATTAATTTACTATTGTTTTCATGCAAATCAAACTATAGCTTTGACAATGGCCGCTACACATACTCCAAACATATATAAAAATATATCTTTATTAATAAAACACTAATCTCATTTGCTGAAGTACAGAGTTTAGGAGCTAATGTGATCATTGTAGAGACAGTTTTAGCATTCTCAACCTTTAAAGCTGTCAGACTATATTCAAATCCTTCTTAAGGGGGCACTGTATGACAATTATTTACATATTTGAAGGGACTTTATCATACATATTATAGTTGGTTGACTCATTAACATTATATCTTATAATATATGTAATATTAATGATTGTAAAATACATTGGCATTCCTAGTTCTTCATACCAAATGAAAGACATCCATGAGCTTTTACAAAATATGTATTTCCCCCCGAAAATCTATGGTGTTGGACAACATTTCAGTACTAATATGCATCTTTAAACCAACAAACCATTTTTGTATAAGTATTGTCTGACTGTGCTGATGAGATGTTTAATTTTTTTCTAATTTTATTTTTTACAATTTATATTTTATTTGCAATTTTCACATAACAAAATACATCTGCTTCGTAAAATAATAGAGATTACAGGATATTGGTTTCCTCCTGTCTATTGTCATAGGCATATCGAGGCATGACTAATTTGCTGTCACTCAGACTTGTCATACACTTCTAGGGTATCCACACGCTCCCTGCATCTGGTATGTGGCTGTTGTGATTATTGTAATGTTGGCAGGAGGACAGCATTGTCATCCAACCGTCGGGTAGGTGTGTGTGGAGCCAGTAACTGTGGCAAGGAACATTGTCAATGGTAAACTTAAACTAAGTCAGGCCTAGTCAACTGTTGCGAACCATGTTAAACAAAATACAATAAACTAATATAAAATAAAATACATTAGGGTGAACCAGGCCTGAAGATTAAGTCTGGGTAGCCTGGTCATATATCAGTTGTGAGTCTTTCACACACTGTTCAGTGCCATCAAGTCTCATCTCCTTCCACCTCCCACCCATCCGGTTTGGTTTCCGTAGAAAGAACATGGGGTGTTTGGAGGTCAGAGTGATGGTCTCGGCTCCTTGCGGGACTATAAAGGATCCATCTTCTCTCCATCGGTAACATATCTCTGTGTCTCTAAGCATCTTGGCTATTGGAGTCAGCTGTCTCTTCGCCGTCAGCACTGTGAACGGTAAGTCTCCAGAGATACAGAGCAGTTTTCAAAGCGAATAGTGCCTAATTATCTTGGATATGATGGCAGATCGAACTGCAATGTCTCTGGTGACTGTAATTGTATCTCTGGATGCTCCTTGTGGAGCGGTTGCTGCCTTGCGGACACTGAAGGATGTCTGTATCATGCCCTTGGTGTCTTTTCCTGGTAGGCCCATTGTATAAAATAAAGGGTAGTAGTGCTTCACCTCCAATACTTTCTGGCACTCCCCTCACTAGTACGTTCCGTCTTCTGTGACGGGATTCTAATGTGAGTACAGAGCTGGAGAGTTTTTGCACTTGCTCGGCCAGGTCTTCCACCTGGGTGTGGGTTGTGTGTATTTGTTTCTCTCGTGTTTGTCCTTTGGTTTCCATTCTCTGTGATTTTCTTGCAGAGTTCCCCTATCTCCGATTGTGCTTCTTTAAAGTCTGATTTCCAGACTTTACGGATGTCTAGTAGAAGGTGACACCGGTGAGGAGTCATCATCGGAATCCATGTCCGAGTTAATCTCACCCGGTCATGTCGACATGAGCTTGTCCCTTTCCTCTTGGGGTGCCTCTGAGGCCTCTTCCTCACTGTGAGTACCAGGCCCCATAGCCTTGGGCCTCTTGGGGTCTCTGGAGGGCGAAACCTCTTATTTTTACGCCCCATGGTCATCTCTGTTGGGGGGGGGTCAGAAAAATACTTTTCTGCTGGAGCTGGTAACTATGTAAGTTTGCCGATATTTGCACAGATAGCTCTGAGCTCCACAGGCTTGCGTTTAGTCTCTCTCGCTGTCCTTAATTATTTATTTTAATGGATCAGGATTTTCAGGCTGACCCAATTCAAGATTCGGTCTTTTGCATTTTCATCTTTGTATGCCACTGTGAATATTTCTGGTATAGGAGATGGAAAAACATTTTGTAAGTTTAATGCTTCTTTTATATTTAAAAGAAGAAAAACTACTAGAACAAGAGGACATAGTCTTAAATTAGAGGTTCAAATGTTTAAAAATGATTATAGCCTTCCAGCTGAAGTGGTAGAGGTTAACACAATGAGGGATTTTAAGCATGCATGGTATAGGCATAAGGCTATCCTAGACTTAAGATAAGGCCATGGACTAATGAAAGTATTTAGAAAATTGGGCAGACTAGATGGGCCACACTGTCCTTATCTGCTGTCACATTCTATGTTTCTATGTAACAGTTCAATGGTTTATCATTAGTATTGAGCAAACAGAAAAGGCTCATATGATTCTTTATACTCCAAACATTGAGGCTCAGCAGTCTGGTCTGTTGTCCACTGCATTTTTCTCCCTTTTAATAGCGCATTAGGTTTAATGAGGAGAGAAATCAATCGGTGCAGATGTTGTACACCAAAAATGCTTTTATGACCTCTTATAACCTAACATGTAGCTAAATATCCTATTTCCCCACAGTAAGGAACCGGGACCAACCCCAGTAGAGAAAAAAAAGAAAGGAAAGCGGAAAGCTGATTCTTGTGAGGAGATCCTGGAAGGAGAAATGTCCATGCTGAACCCTGCGTCTCAGAGCACAGAAGAATCCACAGAGTCTCTGGACAGCCAGGTACAGACATTTATGGTCTGGAATTTACTTTAGGATTCTAATGTTGAAAACAAGTTTAAAGTACTACTGCATTACAAAGTCAGTTGCAGTTTTACCAGAATGGGTTAAACCATTAATGACCGGTTTAATCCCAAAGTTTGCAAGCTGGCACCTGATTGCTCTGTCTCTTCACTTGCTCTGAATGTCAGAAATTTCAGTCAGGGAGCCTTGGATGAGGCGCTGTTGATCGACTGAGATCTTAGAGATCACGATCTCTCCATTGAGAAAGGTTATCAAAAATGGTAAATTAACAAACAATTTAACCACTACAGGGTTTAACCCCTCGATGACCTACTTGCAGCATAACAACCTCATTGTGATGAAGTTGTTAAGGTGCACAGAGTGGTTCGTTTTAAAGGATCAGTCTATAAGCACCATCACAACTTTGTAGAAGCTGGTGATGCGTAGAGTATCCTGTGTCCTCTCAGCTCTAAGAGTGGCTTAGACCAGCAACGATCTGTAAAATCAGGCAGTTAAAATGGTTCTCTCCAGCTGCCCAGAACCGATTATGTCCAGCTTTCCTTGCAAATGGTATGCACACAGCTTGAACGGAGAGCCAAGTTGTGGCTTGTGCATTAGCAGACTTTGGCTCTGATTGACAGCAGTTGGTGTATGGCTGCCCTCAGCTTGCAGAACAGTTTCACTCCTACTGTGTGATGAGTAGAACTACTCTGGGGACGGGGATTAATTACAGGACGGGATTGTATGATAAGACTATAGGCCTTTATTCCAAACTGAGATAATCTTTTATTGGAGGCTTCCTTACTGGTCACATAGAGACAGATCTGGTAAACAGTGTAACTGCCGGGAACTTTGAAGATCTTGATGTAGAATTTCTGCATTACCAATTGTGGCAGGAGGGGCATGGTTGTTGGGTACCTTTTTAAAACCACCGGTTTGGGACTCCAAAGGTTTGTCTCCAAAAATTTAGGAATGGAGACCTCTGCTTAATTTCACTATAACCACTACATGGTCATGTAGTGGTTATTGTGCCCAGACTGTTTCTTTAAGTGTCTCTAGAAAAAGTGTTAGAAAAACGAAGTATATTGATAGGCTTGATAGAAATGTGTAAATTTCCACTCAACTTCAGATAATCCAGATTGTCTTGCAGTGCCTAGTTTTCTATCTAGCTATTTACAGTGTCTCTCTCATTTTGTGCAGAAGCGACGGTCGGGCCGGCAGGTGAAGAGGAGGAAGTATAATGAGGACCTGGATTTTAAAGTGGTGGATGACGATGGAGAAACAATTGCAGTCTTAGGTGCTGGGAGAGCTTCTGCTTTGTCTGCGTCCACGCTTGCCTGGCAGGCTGAGGTAGCCAACTACTTTAGACAATTTATGCCTGAAGATTGTGTTACTTGATATTGTGTTACTAATTCTGGGTATTGATTGCCATTATATTACCAATACATTCTAAGTATATAATGTAATTCTATGAGTTAATTAACTTCTAACACGATTTATTATTAAATAGTGTATAGCAAACTGGGTATTTGCGCTTTAACTTTATTTTAGGGCTTAGAAATGAGCCTTCTATCCCCACTCATTTACTGTTTCTGTGCTGTTTAATCAGTGGTTATTATCAAAGAATATAATGTAGATTTAGAAGTCAATTTCCTAAGAGATGGATTGGACCATCTCAGAGGAGGCCATGCCTCCTCTGTGATATGAAGGGAGGCGGAGAGGCGAACATCACCGAGGGAGCCTTTGTACTGGATAAAAGTTAAGTCTTATAGGCTATAGTTTTCATTTAAGCCTAGAGCAGAGGAATTTTAACTGTAGAATTCCATGTTTTTTTTTTTTTTAACTGGATAATAAAGGTTTTAATGACTAATATTTTCAGTAGCAGCTTTTTTATAACTCATAGCTACTTTGAATCACTGTGGAGATTTTTCCCATTTGTTTGGCATAATTGTTTTGTTTTTGTTTTGTGTTTTTTTTTAGTACCAATTTTCAGTGCAATATTAAATATCATAGATGCTGTAATGCATTTTCATGTAGAATCTTCAAAGCATTGCAATAAAATTATAGGTGTAGAAATAGAAGTGTATATATAGGATAACGCATCTCTTGTGTCACAGGAGCCCCCTGAGGATGACGCTAACATAATAGAACGGATTCTGTCCTCAAGAATAGTACAGAAAGAGGTAACTGTCTTCACAATAATATTTTGTATACGAGGTGTGCATTATTTTTGTTTGTCCTTACAATTACCCCTCTCTGTGAATTGTGTATATCTGTTAGAATGACAGTGATTCTCAAGTCTGGTTTTATTTGTAATGGTGATTTTTATGGCTGTCATGGTTACTGAAAAACCTTTTCTCAATCCGACCTGGGCTTAAGAGTCCGCTTATTTGCTGTAGAAAGACGACGTTATCATAGAATAGTTCTGCATAATAATCGGGAGTTAACTGACCTCAGCCATCTATAAGAACACACTGCAGGGTATTTACACATAATATCCATCATAAATCATATCTATATCTTAAAAAAGGCGAAAACAAATGATACATTCGTACAAAAATATAGTGAAGGTTAGATAACAGAGGAAACCTAGGGAAAGACAAATTTTGAGATAGAGGGGATGAAGAGGTGAAGGTAAGAAACCAGAGACGGGCAAAAGATGCCAGGAAAACCTCTGAGAAAATGGTAGCTGTTTTAACAGGTTTATCGTGAGCTTTACAAAGGTTGTTTTCCTAACGTATATGCCTTTTTGCTTTCCTTTGGTAAACCATTTATTCTTTTCATGTTATTTATGTTAACACACACTAATTGTGGGAAGTTTTAATTTTATTTACATATGTAAACTATTCTAAACTATAAGCAAAAAAACAGAAAAACAAATGTAGCTTAATAAAGTGGTTTTTGGTGTATAGAACATGCCCTTGCAGTCTATCTGCTTAATTCACTGCTATTTAGGAGTTAATTTACTTTGTTTATGCAGCCCTAGCCACACCTTCCTGCATGTGACCTACACAGTCTACCTACACACGTCTTGTAAGAGAACTCTGTTTAACCCCCTCCCGACCTTGGACGTACCTGGTACGGCCGTTAACGACCTTGGACGTACCTGGTACATCCACGGCAAATATGCCCCATTTACTTACCTGGACTGGCAAACCCAGTCCAGGGAATCATATATATGCATTATATATGTATAATATATTATAAAATGCTTTAATTATTTTATAATATATTATACATATATAGGAAATAAAGCTGTGTGTGTGTGTGTGTGTATATATATATATATATATATATATATATATATATATATGTGTGTATGTATGTATGTATGTAACTATTAACTACATAATTATTTGATTTTATTAATTATAATTTTAGGCACCTGCCTGACAGTCCAGGCAGACAGTCCAGAGAATTTAATTGGTAAGCCCTACATTTAACCCTGTTACTTTCCAAAACACCATAACCTTTACATGGGGGATATTGTTCTACTCGGGAGACTTTGTTGAACACAAATATGAGTGTTTTAAACAGTAAAACTTCTCACGACGATATCACCAGTAAAAGTGCTTTTTTTGTGTAAAAAAAAAAAAATGCAAAAAAACAAATATGAATGCTAACTTTGACAAGCGTTTGTGGCTAAGTGGCTACTACAAAAGACTGGACGATACCCCATTTTGAATACCGTGGGTTGTCTACTTTTACAAATGGTATGCCATGATGGGGTTAATTTTCATTCCTGGGCTGCCATACGGTCTCAAAGGCAACATAGGCCCAGCAAACCAATCTGGCAAATTTTAATGGGCAAACATGGAAAAGGGGATTTGACCCCTGTAATTTTGCAAAAACCTGTACCTGTATGCCATCATGGGGGTAATTCTCATTCCTGGGCTACTATACGCTCTCAAAAGCTGCATAACCAACCTGGCAAATTTCAGTGTGAAAATCAAGCCTTATATTTGACTCTGTAACTTTCAAAAACACTATAAAACCTTTACATGGGGGGTACTGTTTTACTCTGGAGACTTCGCTGAACAGAAATATTAACAAATATTAAAAACAGTAAAACGTGAAGTTTTTTGAATTTAGTTTTTACCCAAAAACAGCACTTTCACTGATGATATAATTGTTGTGATACATTTTACTGTTTTGAAACATTAATATTTGTGTTCAGCTAAGTCTCCCAAGTATAACAGTACCCCCCATGTACAGGATGTATAGTGTTTTTGAAAGTTACAGGGTCAAATATAAGGCTGTTTTTTCACATTCAAATTTGCCAGATTGGTTATGTTGCTTTTAAGAGCGTATGGTAGCCCAGGAATGAGAATTACCCCCATGATGGCACACCATTTGCAAAAGAAGACAACCCAAGGTATTGCAAATGGGGTATGTCCAGTCTTTTTTAGTAGCCACTTTTTTACAAACACTGGCCAAAAGTTAGCGTTCATAATAGTTTTTTGCATTTTTAACACACAAACAAATATAAATGCTAACATTGGCGAGTGTTTGTGACTTAGTGGCTATTAAAAAAGACTGGACATATACCCCATATTGAATACCCTGGGTTGTCTACTTAAAAAACATATGTACATGTGGCAGATAAGTGTTACAATGTCACTATTGATATATTTTAAAAATATATATTTTGTAACGGCAATGTCCTACTTGTACTTATAGCCCTAGAACTTGCAAAAAATGGTATATAATGTGTGTGGGTGCAGTAAATGAGTAAGATAAAAATTACAGCTAAACACAAACACAGCAGAAATGTAAAAACAGCCCTGGTCCTTAATGGTAAGAAAATTGAAAAACGTTCTGGTCACTAAACTTCCTTTATTGCACAATCTGTTTCATTTAGAATTAGTATTTAACTCCTAAATGTCAAAGTTGAGCAGTGAGACTGCAGGGGCATGATCTCTATACCAAAACTGCTTCATTAAGCTAAAGTTGTTTTGGTGCTGTCTATCCCTTTAACATAATAATGCTATGATTTGATATTAAGTACTGTATTTTCCTGTGAGCGACATTCATGATGTCGTAATGGTAAATAGCCAGATAAAATTACACTTGAACAACCCTGGTTTTCCATTAAATTGTGCATTGTTCTTTAATACACAAGATTAATGCAGTGCACCTGGAGGGATTTGAATAGGAGACAGTGTTATGGTTGTTCACGGCTATCTGTCTTCTTGCTACCTCTGCTTGCAGTTATCGTATAGTTCCTACTGGTTGTGTAGTTTTTGTCACCACATCCAATAGGAATATAGGATACAAAATGTCATTATTGTGAGACGTTATGTCAGAGAGCCCTTTCTAATAGTCACTTACATTTTTAAATATTAAAAAAAAACCACCAGGAACCATAACCACTTCATTTTATCGACATGGTTGTGGTGCTAGGATACTCTCCTTGCACCCTTTTTGTTTTTAGCAAAGTAGTCGAACTTGCACTTCCACTTTAAAGTGGAGTTTGTCACGTAAAGACACGGAAATGACACCTTCTGGCTCTCAGCACATACACTGATCATCCACAATATTAAAACCACTTGCCTAATATCATGTGATGAGGTGCCCCCCATCACAAGACCTGTGAACATGTCCTGTGGTATCTGGCACCAAGACATTAGCAGCAGATCCTTTAAGTGCTAGGTGGGGCCTCCATGGATCGGATTTGTTGTTCCAACACATCCCACAGATGCTGATTGAAATCTGCGGAATCTGGAGGCCGTGGCAACACCTTGATCTCTTTGTCATGTTCCTCAAACCATTCCTGAGCAATTTTTGCAGTGTGACAGGGTGTATTATCCTGCTGAAAGAGGCCGGTACCATCAGGGAACACCATTGCCATAAAAGGGTGTACATCAGGGGTTGGGAACCTTCAGCCCTCCAGATGTTCTGCTCTACATTTCCCATAATGCTCTTACAGCTATAATGCTGGCAAAGCATCAAGGCGATGTAGTCCACAACATCTGCAGACGCAAAGGTTCCCACCCCTGGTGTACATGGTCTGCAACAATCTCTAGGTAGGTGGTACGTGTCAAAGTAACATCCACATGAATGCCAATTTTTGCCCAATGTTTCCCAGCAGAATATTGCACAGAGTATAACACTGAATCCGTCAGGCTTGCCTTCTTCCCATAGTGCATCCTGCTGCCATCTCTTCCCCAGGTAAATAAAGCACACTCACCAAGCCATCCACCTTATCTAAAAACAAATGGGATTCATCAGAACAGGCAACCTTCTTCCATTTTTCTCTGGTCCGGTGTGACGCTCACATCCCCATTGAAGGCGCTTTTGGTCACCGTGGGCACTCTAACCGGTATGTAGCCACGCTGCCTCATAAGCAGCAAACTGCGATGCACTCTGTGTTCTGATACCTTTCGATCATGGCCAGCATTCAGATTTTCAGCTACAGTAGCTCATCTTTGTGATCGGACCAGACAGGCTAGCCTTGGTCACACATGACCCTGACACTGGTTTTCCTTCCTTGCACGCACCTTTGGTAGGTACTAACCACTGCATACCGGGCAAATCCCACAAGACCTGCCGTTTTGGAGATGCTTTGACCCAGTCGTCTACCCATTACTATTTGGCCATGTCAAAGTCACTCAGATCTTTTCGGCTACCCACTTTTCTTGCTTCCAACACATAAAATTCAAGAATTGATTATTATTTTTTTTTTTTTATTATTATTATTATTATTATTATTTATTATTACCCATGACAGGTGCCATTGTAACGATGTAATCAATGTTATTCACTTCACCTGTTGGTGGTTTTAATGTTGTGGCTGATCAGTGTATAGTGCGCTAACATGGATGAACTTGCACGCGGTGCTCACAAGAGCAAACTATTGCAAGTCCAACAACTGTCCCTGTGTTTTTGATGATTGGTGCTTGGTGTGCGTAAAACAAGGATAATCTTTGGAGTTTTAGGAATGGTAGCATTGATTTGAATTGGTATGCAAATCAGAAAATATAATCCCTGGCTATCTGATAGGGCTCTGTTTTCATGCCTGAGAAATTATCCAAACAAAAGTGTGCAGGGACGTTTCCATGGCACCATAACCACTAAGCGGAGTTGATTAGTGTGCCTAGGGTGTCCCTTCAAAAAGCCAATTAAAAGTCTTTGGTGTGTACAATTCATTGGATTACCTTTCAACTTGCCTGTTCATATAATTATGTTTTTAACTCAAACCTCAACTGGAAACCCTCTTTATGGTACTTTTATAATGACCTTGCTCTACTGAGGTATGAAACTCTAACAGGGGTCTTTGTACTTTTTATTTTGTTCTTTCAGTTCACTCCTGGTGGGATTCCAATGGAGTTTGAGGAATTCTTTGTCAAGTACAGGAATTTGTAAGATACTTCTTTATGGTTATTAAGACTAACCTCCATTTTGCATTATACGTGAAACCAATTGCAATAAAGTAACACTCAACTGGAAAAGAAAATCGAGAATTTAATAGATATAAACCCTGCCATAAACTATTTTTTCACAGCTACTGTAAGCCCTCCCCTTTTTCTCCAGGACAGAATTCACATGTTTGTGGTAGACATTACCCAGTCAGAATATACTTGAGTAGCCTTGCGGACAAATTGTGCTCGTGCACAACTGATCAGTCATGTACTTCTCAATGAGCTATATTGCTTCTTATTGAGATCACATGCACGATCATCAAATGTAGTGGTGGTATGATCAACTTGCCGGTCGTGCCTAGTTTCCCTCACTTCTGCTTTAGCTGTAGTTTAAAAGTAAGCAAGACATTAAAGCCTTGTGATGTGTGTCTAATAACACTGTCAGTTTCTCTTGAAATCAACATTTCACATAGAGCACATAAGTTGTATCGCTTTCAAAAAAATGTTTTCAAAATATATATATATATATATACACACACACACCGTTTTGTCATAATTGACATTGCATTGTTCTTGGTGCTAAGAATTGGTAAGACATGGCAAATTATTTTTGTATAGACTAGTCTCATCATTCAATATTTGTAGAAATAACACATAAGTTATTTAATTTGAAACTTTAACTTCAGGGCTAGCAAGTAAATATTGGCTATAAGCACAGTTTGTGTATAGATTGTTGTTCAAATATACTTTCAAACCCTGAATTGTGCTGTTAGATGATATATAGTTTCTCAGAAATGCCATTTTGTCACGTAAGAGTGTGACGAAAATGAAGTAAAATTGGACATATTACCCTTCTTAAAATTTTATTTTGCATTCCTAAGCAATGCAAAATGAACATTAGCTGTAGGTGTGCAAGTTAAGGTAGTATATTTAATGGTGGATTTAAGTGCTTGACTACTCCATCTACCTCAACTGCAAACCATATACATTTAATAATATGGTTAGCTTAATGTAAAGCTTTCAGATCTAAGATTTCATGAAAAAGGGATCTCTTACTGCTTCCAATGGCAGCCTCTTGTAACAGTAATGTGACTACATCCATTGTCTTCCACTGAAGTCAAATGAACATGTGTGATGTATAACATATGAACCAGTCTGATTTGTTTAACCCGGGGAAGCATTACATGCGTGTTCATTAAAGCCATACAACTATTTCCATTTGCAGGGGATCCAAGCTAATTGATTATGTTTCTTTTAAGTCCTCCTTACTGCGTTAACCACAGTCTGCATAGTGCCTGTCTTTAGTTACTTTCTATTGACTCATACCAAGCACAGGTTGTCGTGAGGGCAAGGAAACCTTTCTGTGACAAGTCTTTCCCTTTCAGTGGCCTCAAAGAAAAGAACCTTGTAATTAAATTTAGATGGATTTAATAAGTCAGTGTGATTGTTAATTACTTGACAAAAACCTTTCTGGCTGGGGGCCTGGAAACACATCAGTGCTTGGGCTTTCATTAAGTAACTATTCAGTCTATCAGATTACTCTGCTCTCAAAATGTGGAACTCTCGTGATCCTAAGTAGTTGTTGAGGGCCACATTTTGTAAAACTTTTACATGTATGTCCAACTTTAAGGCTAATGGAGATTGTCTCCTGCAGCTCTTACCTTCATTGTAAATGGGCAACTCTGGAAGACCTGGAGAAGGACCCAAGGATCCAGCAGAAAATAAAGCGGTTTCGAAACAAGCAGGCGCAAATGAAACACATCTTTACTGAGGTCAGATTCCTGTGCAGATATCTGGATGTTCATTGTGTATAATTTTACAGCTTCAGGTATGATTTAGCATCCTATTCCTTTTTCTTCCATAGCCAGATGAAGATATGTTTAATCCAGACTATGTTGAAGTGGACCGAGTTTTGGAAGTGGCTCATACAAAAGACTCTGATACTGGAGAGGTAGGTTAGCAAAGTGACATTATTGAGCAATCAATGAGAATATTAAAAGTTATTTTTGATTTTTGAGCTAAGCTAGCTGCTCGAACGGCACCATTTCAGTTGAATTCCCGAATCGGAACTCAGAAGCACAAAGACTGCGACAAGTCCCCATGGACATTACCAGACCGCAAGCAACGGTCCCTCATACTTCTGACCCTCCTGGGCCAAAGGCCACCAAGGGGATTCAACCCTTGCATCGACCACACAAGCAGGGCATCTAATCATCTAACCCTCGCTATCCCCTCAGTCAGAAGAGCTTGGACTCTGTTGGTCTCAAGTTCGTGGATCAGGAGCTTCTCAAAAATAGTTTCCCCCCAGTATGGATAGGTGGGCTGCGTCACGTCCCAGGGCCCATGCAGGTCACACACAGATGCCTGACGACTCAAGTGCCACCAGATGTTAATATATTGTGTTCCCTCATTATATGTTACTGTATTGTGTTACGTGCATTCTTTTATATACTGCGATCCAGATGTATTTTGAGCCTTAAAACTCTAATAAAATACAAATTTTAAAAAATAGTTTCCCCCATGTAATTATAGTGTTCATCATTGGTAAGGCACATCATATTCTTCAGGCCCCATGCATCTTTTTGCCAATCCAGCATAGTGGAGAGAGTGAGACTGATTAATACGAATGTAAGGCTTTCTATGAAGAAACTTGTCTGCCTGGAGCAGGTGTTTCCTGGACTTGTAGTTTATCAGCTTATGGAAGTTTTTAGCTTAAACACCACTCTCTGCCTCCTGATGTACAACAAAGTTATTGGGCACTGCAGGTTCATAGGAAGGACCAGAAAAGGAGCTGCAGACACACACTGATACAGAAAAAGCAATAAAGAAGTATTTTAGAATATGGTGGTGGAACAGAGAAGGGAATATTAGCAATCCAAATTCCACAAAACTTTTTTTAAACTAAAGAGACACTATAGGCACTTAGATCTCTTAAGCTCATTGAAGTGGTCTGGGTGCTGTCTCTTTTCCACTTGGTGCTGCAGAGAAACTACAATGTTTACATTGCAGCCCTAAGTCTGCCCTCAGTGGCTGTCTCCTAGACCGCCACTTGGAGGCGCTTCCTGAATTAAAGCGGGTCTTTGGTCCGGTATCTGACGCTGGACATCCTCACGCTCTGCATGAGGACCTCCAGCGTCAGTTTTTTTTTTTCCCCATAGGAAAGCATTGATTCAGTGCTGTCCTATGTGGAGGTCTCATGCTGTATTTGCTGCGAATGCGCGTTCGCCTCCTCCGACAGTCTGTGATGAGCAGGTGCTGAGAGTCGACTCAGTGCCCAAGGGACATCTGCACTGGGATAAGGTAAGTAAATAAAGGAGTTTTAACCCTTTATCTGGCCAGGGTTGGGAGGGGGATGGGGGGGAGCGCGAGTGAGGGGGGAGAGGAAGGAATAGTGCCAGGAATACACAATTTATCAGAAATAACAATTGAATATTCTGTATAGTAGTAAGATTATGAATACAACATTGCTTCTTTAACTTATATAGTGAACAAATTAATATCTTGCTATATATACACTTACAGCATTCTATGTTTTCTCTCTCTCAGGAGGTAACACATTACCTGGTTAAATGGTGCTCGCTGTCTTATGAAGAGAGTACTTGGGAGCTAGAGGAGGATGTTGAACCAGCTAAAGTTAAAGAATTCGAATTACTGCAAGCTCTACCTGACTTTACTCTAAAGGTAACATATTGTTTTGCTTGAAAGGGCTGATGTTAGGAAAAGAAGGCTTAAAGCAACCCTGTTATATATTTTTTATTTTTTATTTTGTTTATCTTTTCCTTGTGTTTCCAGTATCTTGATTACACATTCTCCCTTGCCGTTTGCCATTATTTACATTTATGTGTTCTTCCTTGTGTCGGATCTCAATACCTGTAAAAACTAAAAAGAGCGTAATACCGCACACTTCTTAAAATCCTGGTGCAACCAGACCTGGGGTTGGCTACCCCTCCTGTAGTAGAAAGATCCCTTGTGGAATCGAAACGTTGCACTTTGTTCCAATAAACCTGCTGAACTGATCCTTGAGTGCCTGGCCTACACTTTCTTTTTTCTGATCTCAATACCTGGACACAGTAAATTTGTTCTCTTTTGCCAATGATGTTTTCTATTTGCCCTTCTGTAGGATTGATTTTACTGATAGATTTTGGGTAAATTTGATTGCCAGCTCAAACAGAACTTTATTTTTAGCTCTGCCCATTGCCAACTTGACTGCAATACATAAGTAAAAGAAGTCCCTACTTTTTTTTTTGTAATGAAACACAGGGAGCAGTATAGTCGCAGAGTAGATGAAGTTTATTTTTTGATGACTGAGCTTTTTTAAGCAGAAATCTCTGTACATTTTTTAAACTGGATATTTAAATAATATGTTTGAGTGTAGTAAATTCAAGTCTTCATGAGGCTAAGTTTGCTTGGTTTAATTTAAATCCCCCTAATGCAGTACTTGAACAGATACGCTAGGCACTAGAACTACTTTGTACCATATCTAGGGGACTATTTAATGACAAAGTGGTCATTGTCCCTAGTGTGTACCTTTAACGCCTGGGTCCAAAAATAGGTTCCCATGTCATTTAGTCCTCATTGGTAGGACACTGCATATTTTTCAGGCCCCTGGCTTCTTTTGGCCAATCATAGTGACTGATGGATGTTTGTTTTCCTTCACATCCTAAAGGTTTGTCATGTGATTATTCTGCTGTGCAGTAGTCTCACTTACTCTTTTGCATTTTAATTTCACCTTAACGTTAATTTCTTTCCACAGGAGCGCCCTGCATCTGAGTGCTGGCAGAAACTGGAGCGTTCCCGCACATACAAAAACAATAACCAACTAAGGGAGTACCAACTGGAGGGGATGAACTGGCTGCTTTTCAATTGGTACAACAGGTGAGGAAAGGTGATTTTATTTAAAACTTGTATACATACATACATAACAAATTCCTAAGCACATAGGTCCAGACAAAAGTTTAAGGTTTCCCAGTAGTTTGTAATAGCTAGTACATAGGATGCAGCATTACAAGTCCCATTGTATAGTGCTATGTGATTATTTCTATTAATTAAATTTATTTATTTATTTTACATAGTGTAAATATGAGCCATTTAAAGGGACATGTATCACTTGACAATTATTTTTTATACCAGCAAATAAACACTTTTAAAGAAATATAAAAACCAAAATAAAGCAGGAAAAACTTTTTAGGTATCTAAGAAACGTGAGATTAATGCACTTTTCCAACATTCCTAGGAATAGGATACTGATTGGTTATACCCCCAGAGTGGGTAGGGAAAGCCTAAGAAAGAAGCATGTAAACATGGGGAGGGGGAGGGAGAAGGGGGTTTAAATTTTTATTTATTTTTTTAAACTGCAGATTGAGTCAACTGTCTCATTCAAAGCTAGAGCTATTGCTTGTTCCTTTAAGGACCACATGACAGTCTATGCTGTTGTGTAGGGCCTCATACTGACAGATGAGCTTCAGATGATTTGACAAAAAAAATGGATGGGCAGTATCCAGATACTAATGGCAACAAACCACCACATTGAACCTCTTTAAAAAAGGTGTTTGGTGTTTTCTGGAAAGTTCAATGGCTAGAACTAAAAAAAATAGAAACATAGAATGTGACGGCAGATAAGAACCATTTGGCCCATCTAGTCTGCCCAATTTTCGAAATACTTTCATTAGTCCCTAGCCTTATCTTATAGTTAGGATTGCCTTATGCCTATCCCACGCATGCTTAAACTCCTTTACTGTGTTAACCTCTACCACTTCAGCTGGAAGGCTATTCCATGCATCCACTACCCTCTCAGTAAAGTAATACTTCCTGATATTATTTTTAAACCTTTGTCCCTCTAATTTAAGACTATGTCCTCTTGTTGTGGTAGTTTTTCTTCTTTTAAATATAGTCTCCTCCTTTACTGTATTGATTCCCTTTATGTATTTAAATGTTTCTATCATATCCCCCCTGTCTCGTCTTTCCTCCAAGCTATACATGTTAAGATCCTTTAACCTTTCCTGGTAAGTTTTATCCCGCAGTCCATGAACCAGTTTAGTAGCCCTTCTCTGAACCCTCTCTAAGGTATCAATATCCTTCTGAAGATACGGTCTCCAGTACAGTGTACAATACTCCAAGTGAGGTCTCACCAGTGTTCTGTACAATGGCATGGGCACTTCCCTCTTTCTACTGCTAATGTCTCTCCCTATACAACCAAGTATTCTGCTAGCATTTCCTGCTGCTCTATTACATTGTCTGCCTACCTTTAAGTCATCAGAAATAATCACCCCTAAATCCCTTTCCTCAGATGTTGAGGTTAGGACTCTATCAAATATTCTGTACTCTGCCCTTGGGTTTTTACGTCCAAGATGCATTATCTTGCACTTATCCACATTAAATGTCAGTTGCCACAATTCTGACCATTTTTCTAGTTTACCTAAATCATTTTCCATTTGGCTTATCCCTCCTGGAACATCAACCCTGTTACATATCTTAGTATCATCAGCAAAAAGACATACCTTACCATCAAGACCTTCTGCAATATCACTAATAAAAATATTAAAGAGAATGGGTCCAAGTACAGATCCCTGAGGTACCCCACTGGTGACAAGTCCAAGCTTCGAATATATTCCATTAACTACAACCCTCTGTTGCCTGTCACTCAGCCACTGCCTTACCCATTCAACAATATTGGAATCCAAACTTAAAGATTGCAGTTTATTGATAAGCCTTCTATGTGCAACAGTGTCAAAAGCCTTACTGAAATCTAGGTAAGCAATGTCTACTGCACCACCCTGATCTATAATTTTAGTTACCCAATCAAAAAAATCAATAAGATTAGTTTGGCATGATCTCCCTGAAGTAAACCCTTGTTGTCTCTGATCTTGAAATCCATGTGTTTTTAGATGTTCATCAATCCTATCCTTTAACATGGTTTCCATCACTTTCCCCACTACTGAAGTAAGGCTTACTGGCCTATAGTTGCCCGACTCCTCCCTATTACCTTTCTTGTAAATGGGCACAACATTCGCTAACTTCCAATCTTCTGGGACTACTCCTATTAACAATGATTGGTTAAATAAATCTGTTAATGGTTTTGCTAGTACACCACTAAGCTCTTTTAATAGCTTTGGGTGTATTCCATCAGGTCCCATTGACTTATTTGTCTTTACTTTTGACAGTTGAAATAGAATCTCTTCCCCTGTTAACTCACGTGTAATAAATGACTCATTTATCCTTTTTCTCAACTGAGGTCCCTTTCCTTCATTTTCATCTGTAAATACAGAACAAATATATTCATTGAGGCAGTCAGCTAGACCTCTATCCTCTTCTACATACCTTCCTTCTTTTGTTTTTAATCTAACTAATCCTTGTTTTACTTTTCTTTTCTCATTTATGTATCTAAAAAATGTTTTATCCCCCTTTTTTACTGACTCTGCTATTTTCTCTTCTGTGTGAGATTTGGAAGCTCTTATAACTTGCTTAGCCTCTTTCTGCCTAATCTTATAGATCATTTTGTCTTCCTCACTCTGGTTTTTTTTATAATTCCTAAATGCTAACTTTTTTTTTTTAACTATTATGGCCACATCTGTGGAGTACCACAGTGGTTTCTTGAATTTTTTGCTTTTACTGACAAGCCTAATGCAATTTTCTGTTGCCTTCAATAGTGCAACTTTTAAATAATCCCTTTTCTCTTGGACTCCATTTAAATTGCTCCAGTCTGATAATGACTCCTCTACCCATATTCCAATTTTAGAAAAGTCTGTTTTTCTAAAGTCTAAAACTTTTGTTTTTGTGTGGTGTGACTCAGTCACTGTTCTTATATTAAACCACACTGACTGATGATCACTGGATCCTAAACTTTCACCTACAGTAATATCTGATACCAAATCTCCATTTGTTAACACTAAATCTAGTATGGCCTCTTTACGAGTTGGCTCCTCAACAACTTGTTTTAGAGACAATCCCAGTAGGGAGTTTAGAATATGTGTGCTCCTGGCACAAGTAGCTAATTTTGTTTTTCAATTTACATCAGGAAGATTAAAGTCACCCATGATGATAACTTCCCCCTTCATTGTCATTTTAGCTATTTCCTCAACTAGTAGATTATCTAACTCTTCAATTTGTCCTGGGGGCCTATAAATCACACCTACACAGTTACTGTGTGATTACCAAATTCTAACGTAACCCAAACGGACTCTGTTTGCCTCACTAACTTTTATTAGGCTAGATTTTATGCTGTCCTTCACATACAAGGCCACCCCTCCCCATTTCTTGCCTTCCCTGTCTTTTCTATATAAAGAGTACCCTGGTATTGCTATGTCCCAGTCATTTTTCTCATTATACCATGTCTCAGTAACAGCGACTAAATCTACACTATCAGTTGCCATTATTGCCACAAGTTCATGGATCTTACAACATAAAAAAATGTTGTACCTTCTTTATAATAAGCTAGAAATAATGTGACTTGTGTGTGCATTGCAGGAAGAACTGCATTCTGGCTGATGAAATGGGCCTGGGAAAAACAATCCAGTCTATTACTTTCCTCTCGGAAATCTTCTTCATGGGCATTCGTGGACCTTTCCTAATTATTGCTCCACTCTCCACCATCACCAACTGGGAGCGTGAGTTCCGCACGTGGACTGAAATGAACACTGTGGTGTACCATGGAAGTCAAATTAGTCGCCAGATGATACACCAATATGAAATGCACTACCGGGATTCACAGGTGACAAAATATATATTGTATTTGCATTTGTCCAGGCTATCTTAATAGCGTAAAACCTTTTTATGTTGTGTGGACTTGTAATTTAATTAGGGTCATTCACCATTGGTATTTTACAATGTCCCCATTGTATAAAGAGGTAAAAAAAACACAAAACTTTATTTATTCACCTGATTCCAGCGCTGATGTCCCTCGGCAATGGGTGAGCGCTCCACCTAGTCCGACGGGGGGACCTAGTACTCATGCGCCGCGAGTCCATTAGGCCCTATCTATAGGAATGCATTGAATCAACCAAAATGATAAATTATAAAGTTGATCCAGGTGGAACAAAAGGGAGTGTTGTCCCACCCAAAGGAGATATCCTAGGGTGAAACAAGATGTTTAGGCCACTCCCCTTGCACCTCCCAGATCAAAAGAAAAGTCACCTAAATAGTGTTTCCAATTAGAGGGTAACCCTGGAGCTAAACTACTGACAATGAGAATAAAAATCTCAGTGTCATCCAAAATTGTGGGATACACTGGGAGGAAGAAAAAACAAATAAGTGGACAAAAAAAACCTTAAACTTTATTCTCAATGATACAAAAAATAATGGTCCACTTAAAAAGAAAATATAAAACGTATTAAAACAGGGGTATAAGAGGTGGGTGGTCTCCACCTCGGTACAGGTAGTGAAGAGGGTATTCACAAAGAGAGGTAGAAGGTCTGCATCCTTAAACTAGACTCATCCAAACCTCCCCTGTACACTGTGTCCCAAAACGCCTTTATTGCAAAAGATAAAGGTACTACAAATTCCCCATTAATAAAAAATCTTTTACTGTCCCTATATATCTCGGCACCGAACAGAGCTAATGCCTACCTGAACCGTCTGATTATGGGGTCATTCACACATGGCTAATTGAGGGATGGGTATTTAAACCAACTCAGAGGATACCTATGGCCTCTGCGCTGAAACGCGCATCGAGCTCTGTGTGTGTGTGTATATTTTTTTTTTTTTTCTACAAATTTGCACTTGGGTAGCACTATGCACATTCGAATTTTTAAAAAAAAATTTTTCTAGTGTTCAGGCTTACTGGTTCAGGTAGGCATTAGCTCTGTGCGGTGCCGAGGTATATAGGGGCCGCGAGAGATTTTTATTAATGAGGAATTTGTAGTACCTTTATCTTATGCAACCTCCTGGTTCCCTCTCTGGCGTTTTTGGACACCGTGTACAGAGGAGGTTTGGCTGAGTCTAGTTTATGATTTATTTATTTTTTTTCAGTGTACCATTATTTTTTGTATCATTGAGAATAAACTTTAAAGGGTTTTTTTTTTGGTTTTTTTTGGCCACTTTTAATAATTTTGTGCTTCCTCCCAGTGTATACCACAATTTTGGGTGACACAAGCATTGAATCAATGGTTTCCTATGGGACTTTCACTGATGCTGGTTCCAGTGGCATGTAGGTGACGTAGAGTCTGGTAACCTACCGGAAGCACCTTAAATGGCTGTCTGGTAGGCTGCCACCAAAGGCTGTCTTAGTACTGCAATGTAAACATGGTGTTTCCCTGAAACTGCAATGTTTTACATTGCAGGACTAAGTGGGACAGGGACATTGCACCCAGACCTCTTGACTTGAAGTGATCTGGGTACCTATAGTGTCCCTTTAACATAGTGATTGTGTTAGCATATTGAATGTTTTAAGCAATACTTTAAGCACCAAAACAACTTTAGCTTAATAAAGAATTGAGCTTGTAGACTGCAGGGGCATGCCATATATGCCAAAACTACTTCAATGAGCTAAAATTGTTTTGGTGCTTAGTGTATACCCTCAGCTTGTAGTGCAACAGCTCTTTATTTATCATCAATTCTTAGCAGATAGACTTTACACAATGAAGGATCCCACTGAACATTTAATGGACGTACTTCTTATTATTATTGTTATAATGATCATCTAAAAAATAACTTCCATTACTATCACTTAAAACAAGAATTAAATATTAAAAATATTAATAATAAATATGTTATCATTTAGTTTGGCAATAGCATGGTGTGCATAAAATGGTTTGAGTAAGGGAAAATGAAAAACCTGAACATAATATGTATGTATAAGGGGGATATGCATGTTTACATATTTTGTTTCTTTGTAGGGTGCGCCCGTTCCAGGACTCTTTAAGTTTCACGTCGTCATCACAACATTTGAAATGATTCTGGCAGACTGTCCGGAGCTGAAGAAGATTCAGTGGAGCTGTGTTATTATCGATGAAGCACACAGGCTTAAGAACAGAAACTGCAAGCTTCTTGAAGGTCTCAAACTTATGGGCCTGGTGAGAACAATGATTTATGGTGGTAGTGATATTGTGTATACCACTCTCTAGTTACAAAAAAAATAAATCCATAACAAGAAGTGTTTTCAGAAAGGTAGCTTTATTATCTATTTCTCCTTCCTCTCTCCCCCTTTCCTGTATCTATCTCGTTCATATATGTAAGCCACATTGCAAATGCATTTTAAGTGGTACCCTTATTTCTGCTGGATCAGAGGTTTGTAGGACCCATGTAATGCCTTAAACTGTGACTACAGACCATGCAAATGGTATTGTCTTGGCTATTCAGATGTTTAGTCCTCTGGCTTCCAAGCCAACTATCAATGAAGTCCAGTATTCCAGGTTTTATCCATATTCACATTGGAACAGAAATATGAAATATCTGCTTTTGGAACCATTTGTTTAGATCAGCATGAGACTATTGTGAATAATCCCCTGTGTCGATGCTTTTGTCATTCTGTAGGAACATAAAGTCCTTCTTACTGGCACTCCATTGCAGAATTCAGTTGAAGAATTGTTCAGTCTGCTTAATTTCCTTGAACCTGTCCAGTTTCCCTCTGAAAGCACATTCCTGGAAGAGTTTGGGGATCTGAAGACAGAAGAACAGGTAAGATTAGAAAATGATATACGCCTTAACCCACCAAGCTGTCTTGGTATTACTTTCAATTCTGGTTTCACCTTTTATGCCAACATCCAGTATATCTCTAAAATCACCATAAAAACATTGCACATAGTCTCACCAGTTTAACGCATGTTTATGCATCATATCACATGTTGGTGTATGTGTGTTCTTTATGTTTGAGTTTTGCTTTGACTGTCTCTGCAGGTGAAAAAGCTGCAGTCTATATTGAAACCAATGATGCTCAGGCGGCTGAAGGACGATGTGGAGAAAAACCTGGCCCCCAAGCAAGAGACGATCATTGAGGTGGAGCTGACCAATATTCAGAAGAAGTATTACCGTGCAATTTTGGAGAAGAATTTTACATTCCTGGCCAAGGGAGCCAACCAGCACAACATGCCCAATCTAATTAACACCATGATGGAATTGCGGAAGTGCTGCAATCACCCCTATCTCATTAATGGTGAGCAAGTGCGTGTTCCTGCCATATCCCTCACTATAAACACACGGTACAAATGGCCAGTGGGAAATCTTTGATCTAATGTGCATTGCAGTATTTGGATGCTTCTTGTGTTTCTGCCTTTTGCTCTCTATGTAGGTCATTTTAAGGGCTAAAGGTTTCGCACGACAGTATTGGCTTGCCCTGTCATGCTTCAAAACTAACTTGCCAACCTGGCCGTGTGTAGGCACCATAGTGAACAGAGGCTTATGAGTTAGTGTCACTTTAAAGGCGCACAAGATTTTTCTATAAATGGTGATGAAGACTAATTTGGCTCTTTAGTGGGAAAGCACAGAACTTGTGAATTGACAACCAATTTGAAAAGTTTATACCAAATAGTGGAGTTATTTAAAAAAAAAAAAAAAAAAGCTCCCATTTCAAATAGAAACAGCCAGATGCTAAGTCATCACTCCACAAGTGACTAAGCTGAGCTGGACTTGATAAATTTCTGCTCCTAAGTTTATCAGCCCTTTTCACTGTGAGCAATTCCACCTGTATGTGCTGCAGTAAGTTTACAAATACTAATTTTGTGTATTTGCATTTTGCATGTTAAAGTAAACACTTCTAAATAACAGTACTTTCAGACAAGAATAGTTTACATATGTATCCCACGTCTCCTCAATTTACCATTCCGTCTCCTTTAGTGACATTATTCAATAGTACATCTGTTGTTTGTACACAACAAAATAAGTTCTATCCCTAGATCAGCGGATATGTATATATATTTTATTTTTCTAAGGAAATACTTTTCTCCCCTCCTTTATCATTACTGTGTTGAGCTTACAAACCTGTGACAGAACCGAGACATGTTTTTTTGGCATCAGCCGATTATCCTATATAGTCATGTCCATCGTCTTTCTGGTTTTCTTGTCATTGAATATATGAATATTTTTTGTTGACTATTTGCTGATTGTTTAATTCATTTGAAGGTGCTGAAGAGAAGATTTTGGAAGACTTTCGCAAGAACCACAGCCCTGATGCCTTTGATTTCCAGCTTCAGGCTATGATACAAGCAGCAGGAAAACTGGTGTTAATTGATAAGCTCTTACCTAAGCTCATTGCTGGTGGGCACAAAGTTCTCATTTTCTCTCAAATGGTGCGCTGTTTGGACATCCTTGAGGACTACCTCATTCAAAGGAGGCAAGTCTAAGCTATGGTTCGATGTACATAATTTTTCAAATTATTTTGTTTTCTTTTAATAGATTTATTTTAATGTTGGCATTTAGGCTTACCTGTAAGCTTAAAGTAAAAATTTTTTTTATTTGCCTAGATTGATGTGGCGCAGCAGTCATGCTGTGACATATGAATGTGTCAATTGTAGCTTATTTTTTTTTTTTTTTTTTTAATTCCCCTAATTGTTTCCCTAAATTTAAAAAAAAAAACAATGTCTTTTTGATCCCTTCAATACGCAAATAGAGTATAAAGGTTTCTTTGGCATGTACTTTGCAGTATGAAATCTAGTCCGTAAAGACTAATTCACCCTCATATTTTCTCTTGTTGTTATTATCACCCTGTAGAGAATGCGTTACTCCAGAAAACCAGAAAACACTTGACACTGATATAATGCCTGGAAACCTGCTAAAAAATAATTGAAAAATATAATTGTGTAAACTAATCCCCTGCTTTCAAACAGTACAGGAAGTTTCAATGGGTCATATTCTTAGTCGGGGACAGGGAGGAGGGACTGGACTGTCAGCATTAGCAGTCCAGAAATTGATAAAGATGGGTATAGCGGTTTTAAATACCTTTTATTTTAGATATATGATTTAACAATTTACTGTAAAATGGCATTATGTTCAAATGCGGATGCTTTTTTTTCCCCCTTCATTTTGTTGCAATTTTAAAAAAGCTGCACTGCTAGTAATTTCTTCAGCATCCTTGCAAATACCATTTTTATTTATCCATTTTTGTCACATCTACTGTATGTGAAAAAGATAGTATTGTTGCTTTTATAAACATGCCATGGTTGTGTGTGTATTACCTGACTGCTCCTTAGTTGGAGCTCCCTTAATGTGATATTATTGTGTTAGCAGAATATGTTCTACTGATTAAACAGGATTTTTTTTTTTTTTTACTTTCTGGTTGTTGTAGATACACGTATGAACGCATAGATGGTAGAGTTAGGGGTAACCTGCGGCAAGCAGCCATTGATAGATTCTGTAAGCCGGATTCGGATCGCTTTGTGTTCCTTCTCTGCACTCGGGCTGGAGGTTTAGGCATCAACTTGACTGCTGCGGATACCTGTATTATCTTTGATTCTGACTGGAACCCTCAGAATGACTTGCAGGTAAGCAGACAGATGGAGAGTTTCCAGTGATATATACCACCAGTTGCCTCAGCTCTTTGGAATATGTATGTGCTTTGCAGCTGTCCCATACAGTATATTAAACTGTGGTTAATGGAGGTCCTTAAGGATACCCGGAGAGATGTAGTATTTGGTTCTAATTTTGATACTTCTGAGCTCAACCGTTTTAGCTCTAATCCTGTTTGTCAAAGCCTTGTTGATAGGTTTTACATAATTAGCTTGTGTAATCCAATGTATCACGTTCAGTTTGCTGTCTTTTTTTTATCTGAAGCTATTTAATATGAATATCACATATACAGCTTTTTAGTCCCAATAGCAACTTGGCTCCAAGGATGTAAAAATAGTTTCTATCTGGCATATTTTAGGCACAAGCTCGCTGCCATCGAATTGGGCAGAGCAAAGCAGTGAAAGTATATCGTCTCATAACAAGGAACTCTTACGAACGGGAGATGTTTGACAAGGCAAGCTTAAAATTAGGCCTGGACAAGGCAGTCCTGCAAGACATTAACAGGAAGGGGAACACCAATGGGGTAAGTGGTTTTTTTTTGGTTTGTTTTTTGTCTGTTTTTCAGTCTAAACAATAGATGTTTGAATGTAAAACCTATGTAGTAATTTGTTATTTTATGTTCTCACACAAGTAAATCAAATGTAGTTTAGCCAGGTTTAACAGAAACTTTAATACTAAAATGTGTTTGTAATATACATTAACCAGATATGACACATAAAATTAATTGGAATTATCACCCAAGTTGTGTTATTGAAGGCCATGGTAGATTTCTGTTAGTGTTTTAGCATAGGTTAAGGAACGTGGAGTTTCCTTATCTTTGTTGTCACTGTCCACATTTCCCAGCCTTTAAGTTTTATATATGACTGCATCAAGTCCCAGCTGTGTCTGACAGACTTCTTCATAGAATTTTATGAGAGTGCTTGGCTTGCAGCTGCATCCATCTCCATTAATGAAAAAAAAAACATTTAAATGGCTTTTGATAAGGTAATAGATGTTGAATAGTAGCCTCAGTGGCCTGAATATATGAAACTGCTGCCCAGTGCTGAAATACATATCTCTAGCACTCCATTTGAGAACAGTGGGGTAGCGAGGATCGGCATTAAGAACACGGTGGTAAACTGAAGCCTTGAATGTCTTTTTAATTGCAGTGTTCTAAAATTTAAAGCCATGATTTGCATATTAGGAATATCATTTGGAAGCAGACAAAAAATGTAATGGCCATAGATTTATGCTAATGGGTGTGGGGGGGGGGGGACTTTATAAAACTCTCTACAGAATCATTTTAGATCACTTATGAAGGTGTAGTAATAAAATAATTTATCCCCCACTTTACACAGGTGCAGCCATTATCCAAAATTGAGGTAGAGGACCTGCTCAGAAAAGGCGCTTATGGAGCATTGATGGATGAAGAGGATGAAGGCTCCAAATTTTGCGAGGAAGATATTGATCAGATCCTCCAGCGACGTACACAAACCATTACCATTGAAACTGAAGGGAAAGGCTCAACATTTGCCAAGGTACCTAAATCTGCAATTCGAAATTAGCCAGTGTTAAGCCACTTACATTAGATTCTGGTTAAACTGAAATTATTGATGCACAATAATTTACAAAAATGAAATACAAAATCAAGAGTTAAGTTTATTTTCCTCTGCGTGAAGCGGTGAACTAAAAGCTCAAGATAGTCACACGAGCTAAGAGATTTTGTATGTTTTATGTAGAAAAATGCTTTTCACACATTTTTGTAGCTTTATAGGTTTACTCCAACCACCACGACCACTTCAGGGATTTGAAGTACTCATGGTGGTTGGCATCTGAATGTGCAGTGTTTCTGTCCAGAGATGATATTGTGTGCTGAGGGTTAGTTGCACCCTCAGCACATGTGACATTGGCAGGACAGAACTTTGTTCCGCACTTTCTAATGTCAATTCTGTGCACTGTACGCTGCTGACAGATGTTAAAATCTTCCACTTGCTAGCAGAATGCCTGCAAGGGGACAATATCTCTCCACTCCCTCCCTCCCTCTGGGTGCTTCCACCAGCCTCTCTCCATTGCAGGCTGTTTTTTGTTTGTTTTACAGAAAAATTCTGAAATATGTTTGTTTAAAATGTTCTGGTTTTCAGAATTAACAAAATGAGGTGTTTTTTGTTTAGTTTTATTGTTTTTTTGTTTTAACTGCCCTTTTCAATAGCCATTCAGAAGTATTCTAAAAGAAAATGATTGTAAGCTCATTTGAGCAGGATTCTCTTCACCTCTTGCTTCTGCCAACATTTTTGTTTTTTTCTTGCTTTTTTACATCTCCATTGTTGAATATTTTGGCATTCTAAAATTGATTATGATAAATTTGAGGGTTTGAAGGTCGGTACTCTTTAAATATTGCCAATGTTTTATTTGTTTCTTTCTTTCTCTTTGGCTTAAAAATTTCCCAGGCTAGTTTTGTGTCTTCAGGGAACAGAACTGACATTTCTCTGGATGACCCTAACTTCTGGCAAAAGTGGGCAAAAATTGCTGAGCTAGACACGGATGCAAATAATGAGAAGGTAATATTAAGTGCAATATGCTCTCTGTGTGTAATATTGTAATACATACACATAAGTAAATTCTAGGTTGTTGTGTGGTGGCAGCCATTATAATTCCTGTTTGGTCAGAAGCAGTGCATATCTGCCAGGACAATACTCATTTTGATTGGTTAAAACTGTCTCAGAGCAAATTTTCTAGATCCATGGTACTTGCACATGACATCATGATTTGTGAGTATGCATGAAGACTCGATTACCTGCACAGTCTTTTGTTAGACGTTCTGTTTTTCTGATCAAAGAGGGTTAAACCTTGTCTGCCCTTGTAAAGCAACGGTAAGCTAGACGATGCACTTAAATGTGGTTTTTACTTCTATGAACGCATTGAAATTATACACAAAGATGCACGTGTAAGCTTTTATTTTAAGGTATAGTGAAAATTGATGATAGGTCACTTTAAACTAGTATGAATGTTTGGCATCTTCTGTGTGCAGGAAAGTCTAGTTCTCGACAGGCCTCGTGTCAGGAAGCAGACTAAACACTACAACTCCTTTGAGGATGATGAACTGATGGAGTTTTCGGAACTGGAGAGTGACACGGAGGAACGTCCAACAAGATCACGGAGGCTGAATGACAAAACAAGGCGCTATCTCAGGGCAGAGTGTTTTAGGGTGGAGAAAAACCTTCTTATATTTGGGTGAGTTCATGTTAGAAATGAGACCTGTATGATTGTCTTAGCTCATGAAATACCAATGGCATGTCATGCTTTATATTTGGTCTTTAAAGTCCCTGTGCTGTTTGTGAAGTATTTTGCTTATATAGTACCTGCAGTTGTGGAGAACTGTGTTTTAACTAAATGAATTGGACAAATTACTTTGGAATATTGTCTTAAACAAGCAGGTCCTCAAGATTGTATTGACTGCCATTGATCCTTCAGGACTCATGATATTATCCTCCAATGTTTTGCATAAAATGTCTAATAACGCATAGAGATTTCAAGACTAACATGGGGACTGCTCTACTTTCTAATACGGTTTGCCTCCCTAGATGGGGTCGCTGGAAGGACATTCTAACTCTCGGACGCTTTAAATGGCATTTGAATGAGAAAGATATGGAGATGATCTGTAGGGCATTGCTGGTTTACTGTGTCAAACACTACAAGGGAGATGAAAAGATCAAGAGTTTCATTTGGGACCTTATCACTCCTACCAAGGATGGACAGAATCAAGCCCTCCAGAATCACTCGGGTATTATCTCATAGCTCCACTTTAGGTGTAAACAATGTAGAGGGATGTGTGCCATTATGCTGTTCTAAATTAAACCATTGTGTTGATCACTATTTAAGGAATGTGAAAATGCATGTGTGCGTGTGTCAGGACAATATAGTACTAGTTCTTTGGTATGTATACTGTTTGTGTGATCTAGTGGTAGCTTCACTGAAATGTACAATTTTTATTTATATTGTGTATCTTTATGCATATATAGTTAAAGGGACACTCTTAAGCACCACAACCAGTAGGTCTTATAGTATAGTTAAAGTATAGCAGTTCTGGTGTATACACTATTTAAAACATAACTGTTTCTCAGAAGTGTTTATATTAATGTAGTGGTTTTGGTGCATAGATGCCTTTACTTAGACAATGTAAAATATTATAGTTTCTCAGAAATGTTTACATTCGTCTGAGAAGCTGCTAGACTAACAGCCACTAGACCAGGGCTGTCCAACCTGCGGCCCCCCGATGTTGCTGAACTACAACTCCCATGATTCCCTGGCTATCTGTTTCATTGAAAGAATCATGGGAGTTGTAGTTCAGCAACATCTGGGGGGCCGCAGGTTGGACAGCCTTGCACTAGACGAACTACCGATTTTAAGACTTTCGAAAGTTGAAGAACTTCACATTTGGCATCATCATTATTCCCACAGGCATCGTAATACTTATAAATATATAAATAAAAGGTACCACTCACGTGAACCTGGCCCTTGGACTTTGTGCTCCTCTCCTGACTTGCTAGTTAACCTTGCTTACACATTTCATTTTTGAGGAAAATAAAGAGACTAATAGCTGAGCAATATTAAATTAAATGTAATTTTCTCCAATATGAGCTTTGATTAATAAAAGCTTTCTCTGTCAAACATAATGGCTGAATGTGGATTGGAGGCACCGATAGTATATCTGCTTAAAGCTTGCTTGTTTGTACAAAGATGACTTGGGTTCCTCTGATCGTACTTGTTTGCGTTAACGCTTTGTTCATGGTGCTCACTATGGGGTTATCTGTTGAAGGTTTGTCTGCTCCTGTTCCACGTGGGAGGAAAGGGAAGAAAATGAAGAATCAGATGCTTCTGCCGGAAATAAAAAATGCAGACTGGCTCGCCAGCTGTAATCCTGAGATTGTTCTTCATGACGATAGCTATAAAAAACACCTCAAACAACACTGCAACAAGTGAGTTTTCCCAACAGTGATATTCTTTCTGCCTTCTCGGGAACAAAGGATTAGAGTAAATGCTATTGTGGTGTATTTACTAGGATGAGTTGTTCCGCATACACAATTATCTCTGCAGCATTTCTGAATGTGTCTGACCTCTTTGACCTATGATTCTCCGAGCGTTCTCATGCTTTGGGTATATGCTTGGAATGTGCGATAAGGAATGTATCTGCTCTTTGGCATTCCTTCCATAGTGTTGTAATAGGGCATGCTCCTTTACCATGTCTGTCCTTGGTACCATTAGGTATCCACTGGTACATTTTTTGATACGGTCAATTAAAAAATGGTTACCTGAATATAAGACTGCAATTGAATGTATTGAAATTGATCTGTGACTTTTCTTTTAGGGTCCTCCTTCGGGTACGAATGCTTTATTACTTGAAAGCTGAAGTATTGGGAGAAGCTGCAGCCAAGGCTTTGGAAGGCGTAAATGCCCGGTAAGGACATATCCTTAAAGGTTAGCCACTTTGACATGACAAATCTTAAAAGGACAGAGTTCTTTGAGCTGATACAGTTTCTCTCCATGACAGGTCTTAAAGGAACACTGTGGGCACCATAACAACAATTGAATTGAAGTAGTTTTGGTGCTAGGAGGTCCCTTGCATTGGTTTACATATAGGGGTTAAACTGTTTACGAATGGTGTAACCCCAAATTCTCATCTCCACTGTTTAGCCCTGCCCCCTCCAATATCCGCTTTCGGAAATTTATCTGATTGGCTTGCTGACGCTCTGAGACAATCAGTAGCTCCCCATTCACAAAATATGTAAATTTTTATGAATTGGGAGCTACTGATTTGGTTTAGAGTGTCAGCAGACCTCTCTAATGAGCAGCGAGGCTTCTGTTTTGAAGATTTTTAAAAAGAGGATGTTGGGTGGCTGGAGAGGAGACTTTAGAGTTACACCATTTGTGAATGGTTTAAATTCTAAAGGTAAGCCAGTGCCTGGGACCTCCTGGCACCATAACAACTTAGCTTCAATGAAGTGCCCAGAGAATTCCTTAAAAGTTGATTTTACTGTTTTTCACACCTGTTGTGTCAGGGCTGTTGTACGTTGTAATCCACCTAAGGAATATCATCAGTAGTTCCCTGAGAGAACTCTCCTGAGTGAGTGTCAGTGCCTGCAATTCCTTTTTCTTTTTACAGAGAGCTGGACGTCTTGTTGCCTGACATAGATTATGTTGAGATTCCAGTGGAATGGTGGGATGCTGAAGCTGATAAATCACTCCTGGTTGGCGTTTACAAACATGGTATATATCTCTTTAACCCCATGCAGGAGTTTTGTTAGTTCAGTCATGTCAGAACTAGTAATATAGGATTTTTCCAACTAGTAATTTAATCAAATGACTGTGAAGGCTTATTTTTCGGGTTACCTGCAGGAGACACTAGGTGGTGCTTTTGCAGCTCTCTCTAGAGGTGTCACTTTACTTGATCCATCACAGTAACCTAAAGTGAAACCCGTACTGGTATCACAGCCACACTGCTGCATACACATGGCTTTAAAGAACACTCCAAGCACCATAACCACAGTTTGCTGCACTCCCAATAACGATAGGGAAATCATTTAGTAATGGTTTTACTTTTTACCTGAGATCCGCTGTGCTCTGCTCTCTTCATCCTCTTTGTCAAAAACTCTCATTACTGAGGTAATCCCAGTGGTGCATGGCTTTGCTGGATTGGCTGTGAGCAGTCAGTTGGCACTCTCAGCCAATGAGCTGGCCCTACGCTGCAGTGCTTAGCTGTAGAGAGCCGAGAGGAGTAGGGAAGCAGCGTTCTTTGGACCCTTGGTAAGAAGTGAAACTATTTCCATTTGTATACTTACACAGGGGGGTGCTAGGGCACTCCATAATCTCTACAAGGCGCTATGTGGTGTTTAAAGTATTTCCCTTGCCATTGATTACATTTGGCTGCAGAGTTCACACTTTTCAGGAAAGCATGATTGGGGTATGAACCCTACGTGGGTGTGCAGCACACTCCCAAGATACCGAGCTGGTAGTTACATTGAGTACGAGAATGACAATATTTAGGGAAACAATTAGAAACGTCCTAGTATTATTTGAAATCCCTAAAACACTGCTGCTCTAGGCCCAATCATTTTGTGCTGTATATGTCATTGTTCCTAAACCTTACTCTCTGCTCTGTCCTTTATAGGTTATGAACGATACTGTGCCATGAGGGCTGATCCCGCTCTCTGTTTTTTGGAAAAGGTGGGAATGCCAGATGAGACATCGTTGTCGGCTGATGGCATTAATGATGCTGCTCCAGAGCTTGTGGAAAGGTGAGTGTGACTCATCATATTTAAATATTACATTTAAAAGGAAATATCTCAACCTATTCAGTCACATATCCCATTTCATCTATATAATGTTTTTATAATTAAGAAATGATGCTGGTTTGTCCATCACTGTTTGGATATAATAAGTTTTCTGTGGCAAGAGGGTGTAAATTTAAAAACTTTTATATGCCAGATTCGTAATGTAAAAGCGTGTCCTTGGTTGTATGGACTTGATATAAAGTTCATCTTAAGCTCATCTTCAGTGTTTGGGTTTTATGTACTCTATGTACAGTGGCTGTTTGTTAATTTTTTTTTGTGCCATAAGAACTTCCCGTGCGTTATTACAATGAGTAAGATTGTTTGGCGTCCCTGCATTAAAACCGAATAAAATATGTCTGAGTTAGATTTCCAATGGGCAGAGAGGACATAATACATTATCATGCTGTTACAAAACTGTATTTTCTCTTCTTCTGGAAAGTGAAATGTTTGGAGCTCATTAGTCCAACTGAGGATGTTCCAGTCTCTGACTGGCTTCTGGCAGCACATGATTCATCAGCCTCCACCCTCTCTTTTATGAATTTATTATATCATTATCTGTTCAGTGGGCTGCACAGGTGTTTTCTAAATTATAATGTAAGATTGTAACCTTCAGAGTGAAAAATAGTTCTGTTTTCTAACAGCTGTTAAAGGAACACTGTTAGATCACCTTCACCTGGGTGCCGTCTTTTACTTGACCTTCAGATGGATATGGACAAGGAACCTGGCAGTGTTCTTTTAAACCGAAACTTCACTGCAGCTAGGTTAGATGAAAAATAATGATCTGTTGGTAATATTCTTTTAAACTGTCTAAAGAAAATGCACTTGGTAGAACCAATGTAGTGCTGTTTCATCACCCCAAAGTGAGAATTTAAAGTGAATTTGAAATTTAAGGTCCAAGTAGCCGAACTGGAATCATAACTGAAATTTTCCAGTTCAGCTATTTGATCTGAAATTGACTTGACCCTGTCAAGAGAGAAATGCTTGGAATTTAAAATGAGTTCCAAATTTAAGACCAAAATAGCCAAACTGAAAACAGAATTGACTTGGGGGAACGTTTAACTCGACTATTCTTACTAAAAATGTTGAACTTCACGTTCGTAAATAAACTGACTGTGTCGCATAAAATGCTCGCAGAACAGCTGATGTGGGCAGATGGTTAATTATTTTGTTTCTTCCAGTGATGTGTTTGCCTGTAGCATATATCATTTCCCTGGGTTTATAAAGTGCAGAAACATGGCAGACCCTGCTTCTATGCAGTGTAAACTAAAGAGCTGCTGTCATGACAAGTATGAGTTGATATCTGCAACTTTATGTAGAGAATAACATTTAATCTCTATATGTTGCTAGCTGTTCCCTATCAAATGCGTCTGTTAAAAGTTATGTTTTTACGACTTGTTTATTCTTTACTAATTTGCCATCTGCATTGCGGCAAAGACTCCTCGCATGAGTAGCAAGAGAGCCTGCACACAGCTACACAATCTCCAAGTGACATGGAGGCATTCCAGAACTGCTAGTGTGCTCCCACACATCAGGAGTTGTGGCATGTCAAGCGAGACATTTGGAGGAGGGCCAGCTGTGTGTGCAGACTCTCTCAGGTTAAAGATACAATACAGGAGGAGGAAGTGAGCTTCAGCAAAGCATATTATTATTGCCATTTATATAGTGCCAACAGATTCCGTAGCGCTTTACAATATTATAAGAGGGGGGATTAAATTATAAATAGGACAATTACAAGAAAACTTACAGGAACGATAGGTTGAAGAGGACCCTGCTCAAACGAGCTTACAGTCTATAGGATCTTTCCATATATACTTTGGCTGGCTAGTTTAGAAAGAGAGGTTAGAACTGATTAGAGAAGGCACTCTGAAAGCTCCATAGCTTTACGTTTCTTCTAAAATGTATTCAGTCATCAGTTGTTCTTTTTAACAGGTGAAAGATTCCAGAACTTCTGAAGACCATAGACTTAAGGGGGAACTGCCTCTTCCATAGATTATAATCATGTTTACTTATTCCTTTTATTTAACAAATATATGTTTTTATGAAGGGTAGGGTGAAAAATAAAATTACGAAATACAGCTTTTTATTCTTGGTTCCTACTAAGAGATTTGTATAAGCTTTGCCCTTTACCACATACATATGGATGTGGAGAAACAAACATTTTTTGTTTCGCCTCCTTCAATGCATTGTGGGCCCTGTTTGTGCCAGGACCGAAGTGGATTGTGATGTCAGCTATTAAATATTTAATATACTTTTAAAAGAAAACAGAGATGTTTTGGTTTAAAATAATTTACATTTCCCATTTAAAGAGGAACTGTCACTACTCAATATATGAAGTATTTCTGTGTACCAATGCCCTTTGTTAGCAAATGTGTGTTTGTGAGGTCTGAAAAACAAAATGTAGAAATCAACATTTCTATTTTACAACTTGACTCATAGGGAGCTAAGATGTATTTGCCATCCTCTTAAATGTTGCTCTGTCCTGCCATTAAATATAGTTAGTGGGCGTGGTGAAACTGAAACAATGTTTCAGTAATATTTCAAGAAGTATTACTTTACTGAGATGGTAGTGGACACGTGGAATAGCCTTCCAGCTGAAGTGGTAGAGGTTAACACAGTAAAGGAGTTTAAGCATGCGTGGGATAGACATAAGGCTATCCTAGACTTAAGATAAGGCCAGGGACTGTATTTTGAAAATTGGGCAGACGAGATGGACCAAATGGTTCTTATCTGCCATCTCATTCTATGTTTAATGTTTCTGCTGTCTCTTTCATTTGCATTGTGTGCCCTTTTAGTCAGTAGTGTTTTTTTCCAGAGAAGTGATAGTTCTGCTTTAAAGTAGAGCCTTATATTTACTATAGTGATGCTTCATTCAGGTGAATACGAATGCTAGTTAATATAAATTAACTGGGAGCCTAGTGTCTTACCAAGAGAAAGCTGGTACTAAAGAATTAAAATTGCTTGAGTGTCTAACTTCTTTATATTTAGTCATGGAGATGTATTTTTCAAGTTCTGCATTCTTCTAAAACCTCTTAAAACCTACTTATTGGCTGTGCAATAACTGTCTTTATACCAGGCAACAGAAAACAGGATTCTCTGCACCAAATAGGGGACAGGGATTGCAACAAAGTGAACTCTAAATTTAATTCAGACATTGTTATGATATGGGAACATCTGGCATATAATTTCTAAATGTAACAATTTAATACATTTAATAACATGGTGTACTTTAATCTGCAGCTAATTCTTTATTTATTTTTTAGCAACAATGCTGTAAAGGAGGAGAATACTGAAGATAAACTGGGTGTGCAGCCTGAGGTCAGTGGAAAGTCTTATTCACATACAGCAATGTGAGCTCAGTGTATGAATCATAAATGGAAAAATAATTTATAATCTGGAAATATTTTTTTAAAATCTGATATAGTACGTGTTAATTTAACTACAGAAGTCTGAGAATACAGAAAAATTAATGTTCTAAGCGTGCAGAATTTTAGATATGGATTATATTTTTTCTTAGGGAGAAGCCATCTGCTAAAAAGGATGAGCGCACATCCTTGGAGGAAACAGACATACAAATTTGTGTTGAGTTGATAAAGAATTAGTACAACCTTCCAGGTTATCTCGACACAACAGAAAGTTGCATTAAATATTTACTTCTTGGAGTGTATCAAAGTGGGCCAGTCGTCACTTTTTAGCAAGATCTAGTAGATTACACTTTTTAGGTTGTCTTAAGTAGACCTTGCAAGAATGTTTACATTATAATTATTTGTTTTACTTTATTAGTTTGTTGGGTTTTTTTTTTTTTTTAAAGCTAATGGGCTAATAACTTTGAATTGTTCCTGTTTTGAATTGCCTTTTGTGTTTAAAAAAAAAAAAAAAAAAGAGAGAGACCAGGATACAACTACTTGGACAATCGTAATAGTTCTACTGCAGTTCTGATAACCACTTCACTCATGAAAGCTGCAGTTTTTATTGTAGTGCATGCAGCAAGTGTTTTTTAAAAGGACACTATAGACACCCAGACCATTTCATCTCATTAAATTAGTCTGTGTGCAGTGTCCCTGCCCCCCTTAATCCTGCAATGTAAATCATTGCAGTTTCTTAAATTGCAGGACTAAGACTGCCTCGAGTATCTGTCAGACAGCCACTAAGGGCACTTCCTGCTTGCTAGGCACCATTTGGTCGCCTAACTCACGCTCTGCATGACGATATTTAGCGTCCTTTAAATCCTCATATGACCGCATTGAAGCAATGCTTTGCGATGGGAAAGGCCTAATGCGAGCAGACCAGGCCACAGGTGGCTTAAGCCCTTAAAAATATAAATACTGAATTGTGGTTGTACATGCATTTGGAGTTTTCATTTTCTTTATCTTTTTTTTTTTTTTTTTTTGCCAGGAGAAGCTGATTTCCAAAGCAGACAATACAGAGCAGCATGATGAGGAGATCAATACAGGTGAGAATATGAAATGTGGAGACCACATCATTAAAGGAACACTGTGGCGTTAGGAATACATATCTTTATTTCTAACGTTACAGCCCTGATGAAGTTTAGGTGCGCATGACGTCACAGTATGTTATGATTTGCAAACTGGGAAGTAAAATTCCTGCTCTCATATGCAGAGGGCTTTCAGGTGTGGCTTTAAGCTGTGCTTCGAAGTCCTCTAATTAGTTTACTACAGTGTTTTGGGGGTAAGTGTGGGGAGGGGTAGGAGGCACGGCAGGACTGCAGGCACTATGCCTACAGTGTCCCTTTATTTTTATTTTTTTCAATATCTTAATTTTTATTAGTTTTTTGTGGTGTCGCGACAGCGACAAAAAAGGGGGATACAGAAAGGAAGAAGGGGAGGGGGTAACATTGTATAGACACAATCAAATATTACAGTACATATATAGTGTATGGCTAACATTGTATAGTGGCTGATATTTAGCGAGGTAGTGACACTCAGATTTGGGTTTGATCCAAGTTAGTCTAGGCACGACAAAGTGTATCAGAGATTATCGGACCTGTCTTGGGGGCCCTGTTGATATTCGCTTGTTTAGCCTGCATTATTGATGGGATGCGGTGGAGCCCTACGGCCCTAGTCATTTGAGGACCCTTAGACTACAGCGTTAGGTGGTAATCTGTTGGAGGAGTTTAGATGTCTGCGAGTGATCACCTCGAGAGAGATTGGGTATCGTTCGTTGGATAATCATCTACAACCTGCCAAAAGCGATGGCTCACCCACCACCGTTCATCTCGCTACCTGCCTGAGTGTGCTGCACTCCAGCTGAGCCATAGTTTTGCGTGTTTATCCTCCCTGGATTGCAATCGGAATGCTAGTCTTTCGTGGTCATAGGTCGAGTGGACTCTATTTTTCACCTCCTGAATACTAGGGGGATCTAAACTTTTCCATCTGCTGGCTATGCTAGTTTTTGCAGCTAACAATATGTGATATATAACTGTCTTGTGGGGGGAGGCCAGTGTGCCTGTGTGAATATGTAGAAGATAGCATTCCGGGCGTAGTGGAATGATAAGTTCTGTCACCTCCTTTATCAGTGACCTGACCTGTTGCCAAAATTGTGTCAATTTAGTACAGTCCCAGAAGACATGAAGCAATGTGCCCACTTCGTCACCACAACGCCAACATGCCCGCGGGACAGCTGGGTATAGCTGGGCTAGGCGAGAAGGTACAAGGTACCATCTCATCAATAGTTTACAAAAGCTCTCCCAGTGGGACATGTTATGTGAAGAGGCACGCGTGTTTTGGATCACCTGTAGCCACATCGGTAAGGGGAATGTGTCCTTCAGATCTCGTTCCCACTTAAGCATGTAACCATGTTTAGTGGCACTGTCCACATCATTAATTGCTGAATAGCTCAAGGAGAGGGTTTTGCCCAAGGATTGGGTGGAGATGCAACGTCGCCCAAATGTAGTGAGGTGCTCTATCTCACTATGCTGTATGTTTAATGATGATAGGGCGTGCTTGATACGCAGATATGTGAATATCTCCCTGGGGGCTAACGCATACTCGGCTTGTAGTTCAGGGAACTGTTTTATGCCTTGTGGTGTTAACAGGGACTCTACCGAAGTGATCCCCTGTGTGATCCACGTTTTCAGCGAGAGATTGCTAATTAGGTCTTGTAAGCTGGATATAGGGGCAAAGAAGATGGGATGGGCTTGACCCATGAGATCTCTCGCCCATCTTCTCCAGCTAGCTAGCATAAAGTTGGTGGTGTTCAGTCCCTGTGGGGTTGATTTCGTGGAGGCACATGGAGACCATAATTTTTGTGTTATTGTGGCCGGGTGCAGGCATGCATTCTCCAAATGCAGCCACACCGGTGTGTTGACCCTAGTAAGGGCCTCTAATCCCTGGGCTAGTACTGACGCCCTATAGTAACCTTTTATGTCGGGGATCCCTATTCCACCTTTGTTTGGAGATAGCCAGGTAAGTCTACGGGTGATTCTGGGAGGTTTCTTTTTCCAGATGTATGAGTTAAAAATGGATTGGAATTTTTTAAGGAGTGTATCTGGTAGTGCTATGGGTAGGGTGCGGAACAAATACAGTACATGTGGAAGTGCCATCATTTTGATCGTCTGGATTCTCCCTAGCCAGGAAATGTCAAGGTGTTGCCATTTATCTAGCATTGTTTGCAGTTTACGTGTGAGGGGTATGTGATTTTCGCGTGTGAGTCTAGTGTGCGATACTGTTAGGTTGACCCCCAAATATTTTAGGGATGTAGCCCTCCAATCAAAGGGGAATGTTGTCCTTAGACTACTTATCGTTGTGGGGGAAAGGCCGAATGGCAGTACCTGGGTTTTGGTGGTATTGTTCTTGTAATAGGAGACCGCACCATAAAGAGATAGCAGGGATGTCAAAGCCGGGATGGATTTATCGGGGCGTGTGAGGAAGAGTAAGATATCATCCGCGAATAGTGTTCGCGTTTGGGTACCCGCTGGTGTGGTAAGTCCCGAGATCTCTGTGTGTTGTTTAATGCGGTATATAAGTGGTTCTAGACAGAGGATAAAAAGCAGGGGAGACAGAGGGCATCCTTGTCTCGTTCCGTTACTGATTGTGAATGATTGTGACAAAAAAACAGTGTTAAAAACCTTAGCTGACGGTGCACTGTATAATGCCATAATACTCCCTAGGAAGGTATCTGTAAAACCCATTTTCAGTAGGGTAGCCTTCAGATACTTCCAATTAAGTCGGTCAAATGCCTTTTCAGCGTCGAGTCCCAAGATCACCCCATGTTGGTTGCTTGTCCCCGCCCAATTTACCAGGTTCAAACAGTGACGTGTGTTGTCTCCCACTTGTCGTCCGGGTACAAACCCAGCTTGTTCTGCTGATACTAAGTCCGTGAGGAGGGGTTTCATGCGGGATGCGAGTAGTTTAGCGTAAAGCTTAGCATCCGCATTGAGGAGCGAGATTGGTCTTAAATTCTCGCATTTGGTGGGCGGTTTGCCCGGTTTGGGAAGTGTGATAATATGCGCTTCAAGCATTTCTTTTGGCATGGTCCCTGTCGATTTAATGTTATTAAAAAGTATGGTTAGGAAAGGTGTTAAGATCTTTGCTAGTTTAATGTAGTAGTAGTTTGAGAATCCGTCTGGGCCTGGGGCCTTATGTTTCGGGAGGGATGCAATAGTTTTTGCGACCTCGTCGTCTGTGAATGGTCGGTCGAGTGCTTCTTTTTGTGTTTGTGTCAAGTGAGGGAGTTCGACGTGGCTGAGGAATTCATCTATGGAAGCATGTGTCGGTTGGGGTGTCAGGGGATCGTCTTTTAAATTATATAGATTGGAGTAGAAGGACGCCAGCGTGTTTACAATGTCATTAGGGTTATATAATTTGGATGCTTGAGAAGTTTCGATAAAGGGGATTTTCGTCTGGAGACGCTGGGCTTTTAACTTATTAGCCAATAGTTTACCTGCTTTGTTGCCTTGTATATAATGTTGCAATCTAAGGGCTCTCATGTTCCTTTCAATTGTCTGTAACGAAATAGCATTTAAGTTCCTCTGCAAGCGCGCTACATTTTTAGCTAATTTAGTGGACGGGTTTTGTTTATTGTGTTTATCGGCCTCTGCCAGTTCGAGGGTTACCCGCCTTAACTCCTCTTCGTGTTTCCTTTTTTTACGGGACCCGATTTGGATTAGTACCCCCCTGACCACGGTTTTGTGAGCTGCCCATTGAGTTTGTATAGGGATTTCCTCGGACATGTTTTCCCTGAAATAATTGGTTGCGGATTCAAGGATCTTTTGCAGCGCTGTGGGATCGTCCAGAAGACTTTCATTAAGTCTCCATTTTCCTCTCCCGCGGATTGGGTATAGGCTGCTGAGGGTAATCGTTACCGGGGCATGGTCTGACCACGTCCGCAGCCCTATATCTACTTCAGTTATGTTTGTTAAGGTTAGTTTGTCTACCAGTGTTAGATCAATGCGTGAGTAGGTTGAGTGGATTGGTGAGAAATATGTATAGTCTCTGCCTGTTGGATAAATGTTACGCCAAGCGTCATACAGGTCTAGTTTGAACATAATGTCGGACAAGGTTTTGCCATTATGATATGCGTAGGGGGACGCTTTCTTATTATTCACCCGTTGTATATCCAAATTGGGGTCCGGGCTGCAATTGAAGTCCCCACAGATTATGACCTGTCCTCGTTTCATTGAATCTATCTTGTTAAGTGCATTGCGTAAGAATGGGAGTTGGCCGTCGTTAGGGGCATAAAGGGACGCTAGGGTTATTTCTACACCATTGAGTGAGCCCACCAAGACCTGGAGGCGTCCTGCTGTATCTGCGTAAGTGTCACATGGTTGAAATGCCCAGTCCGCATGGAATAGAATGGAAACCCCCTTGGACTTGTTTGGGGAATATGCGTGGAAGGCTTGGGGGTATCGCTTAGTTTGGAACTTGGGGGGATTGTTAACGCACAGGTGAGTTTCTTGGAGACATATCACTGCAGCGCGTGATTTGTGCATATCCCTAATTGCTAGACTACGTTTGTATGGACTGTTCAGTCCTTTGACGTTCAAGGAGAGGATTTTAAATGTAGTTTGAGTCATTTGATGGTAAAAACTATATGCCTTTTGAGTATACTCGGAACGGTGGTAGTTATAGGAGTGGGAGACCTGGTCGTTTTAATGCACTGGGCTAGTCTCATGAGCAGAGTACTATATACGACCCATTTTGGTTTATGTCTAAAAGGGGGGTGGGAAGGAAGTAAACTAGGGAAGAATTGGGGAACCAAGGGAAAAAACAGGCCATCCCTGCTACCTGCAGGGTTTATCTCCGAATCCGAGTGATGGAAAGCCACACTCTTCATCGGCAGGGGGAACGTGGAGTCGTCTCCACTGTTGGTGGCCCTATGGAATATTAGTGAGAATGAGCACCTTGTGGGTAACCAGTGTTTGCTCTTCTGGGTTGGACCGAGGCATGTTATCAAATGGGGTGATATATATTTTTCATTTTTCCTTTTTTTTTTTTTATGCAGAGTTGATAATATTGGAACATTACTCAGATTGTAGTATTTGCTGTTTTGTGGCTTATGCGTGGTTTGTGGTCCCTGCCTGTAAATCTCGTGGGGGGAGGAGGTTGCATCCCGGGTGTGAGTCTAACGTTCCTTGCTTGGAGCTGTTTTGCTAGTACACCTAGTGGAGTTTCCTGGGGGTACACGAGGCTCCAATAGGGTCCCCCATCACTTGAGGGATCTGGCTCCTTACACTGTTCCCCGAGTGCTACAGCTTATATGACTAGCATATGTTCCCCCCTACCCACCTTCTAGTATATGCCTGGTCTTGAATGGATCTGATGTACTTTTACAGACTGGAGTATGAGTTAATAACATTGGCATTTCAACGGATAGGGGTAATAAGGCTAAATACTTGTTGTATGGTAAGTGGATTGTTGCGCTCAGCGGAAACAAGGGAATGCTGGGGGGTTGTGAATCTCCTCTTATAAAGCAAAATGATTAATGCCCAACCAAGTAAGGGATTCAGTATAGGCTGTCTGTGATCTAACCAGTTGATCATACTAGCGTTAACCCACCCATGAAACTTAATAAAACATTGCGCCTTAAACATAACATTTGGCAATACTTATGTGCCGAGCGTGCCGTCAATCTCCAATGAAGTGTTCATATTAGTCCCGGTTTTGCAAGGCAGCAACAGCCCCAACCATCCTCCACTCTGGCAGGAACTTCTGCGGTGAGTTGTGGGTTGGAGCGGACCTCCCTTGCGCATGATGTAGACCCCACTCTTTTAGCTTCTCCATACCTGCCTCCGGTTCTAGGATTGTGACGGATCTGTCCCGGTACCAGACCAGCAGTTTTGTGGGGTATCCCCACCGATAGGGTATGTTGTGGTTCCGGAGAGTCTTGGTCACATTCACGAATTCCCGCCTCCTCGCCATCGTTGTCGCGGAGAGATCAGCGTATATTTGGACATTCTGATACGGTTCGGGAAATTTGGCAAGTTTTCTTGCTGCGTTTAACAGTTTCTCTTTAGCGGTGTAATAGTGGAATCTTGCAATGGTATCTTTAGGGGTGTCATCTGTGAAGCGAGCTGGTCTCGGGAGTCTATGGACACGGTCCAGCTCCCATGCGGTATCGTCCACCTGTGGGACCAATAGCTTGCAGAGGGTTTTGAGGTGGAGAGGGAGAGCCTCATTGGTGACAGCGTCGCTAATGCCCCTAAAGCGCAAATTATTCCGCCGTGATCGGTCTTCAATGTCTGCCAGTTTGATCTTAAGGGACTTTTGTTCTTCTTCCAAGCTTTGCAGTTTGTCCACCAGATCGTTGTGGGCTGCACATATCTCCTCCGTTTTCGTTTCTAGGTGGCTAGTGCGGCCTCCCAATTCAGTGATCTCCTTCCTCAGTTCGTTGGTGTATTGGCGGAAGTCAGCTCTGAGCGAGCCCTTTAGTGCCTGCAGCATTGCATGGAGGCTCTTGTTGGTGACCAGTTCTTCATCAGGTGTTGGTGGGTCATATTCCAGGGCCTCTTGGCTTTCTGGAGATGTCGGGCGGGCAGCATGGCCGTCGCCATCTTGCGCCGGCCTCGTTTTATCTTTTTTGTTTTGCCTCACCGGGTCTGTAATTTTTGTCTGCTTGGAGGGTGCCATAGCGTTCTTGGGCACTGTACCCACTGTTGTTGCTCGTTTGTGTCCGGGTTACCGTGGCTAAAATGTCGCTTTGGGCCTAGTGGAGCACGGAGCAGTCTCTACATGCGACTTCTCCTTTCGGCAGTTGGCCACGCCCCCCCCTACAGTGTCCCTTTAACTTACCTTGACCATCTCCATAGTTCTTATAGCCCTTTAAAGCAGATGTTTTGCTATATCAATCTCTTGATGAAACACGTTTGCATGCTCTTGAAGAGAAAGATAAGCTATATTATCTTTGTTTTGTAGCTTGAAGGAGTGCAGCCCGTTACCCCTTTATAAATGGACATTCAACTGCCCAAACAAACTGTTTAGTAGATACACCTCCTCTCCAATGAAAGCATGCATTTTTTTTCATTGGGGTAAATCTAAAAATCTAAATTACCAATTTCTGTTAAAAGCTGCACATTTTGTAAAATGAAAAAACAAAGCACACACACTTCACACATAAAGCACTTCAGCAAGCATGCTTTAGGGATCTGCACTGTCCTTTTAAGGCACATGACTCAAAGGTTTGAGCACAACTACACGGTTTCTAAAACCTTTAAACTAAAACAAATTTAGATGAAAGTTTAACTTGCCAGGACATCATTCTTTAACCAGAAGGGAACATGGTTAAAGTCCAGTCCTTGCCTAGTGAGATTTGATCCCAGTGTCAGAGTGGATAATTACTTAGTTGGTCTTTAACTCTAGTCCATGGGCACTTGTTACAATAAATATAGTCCACCTATCTGTTTTATTTGTTTTACTTTTTTTGTGGTCTAAATATCCAACAAAGGTTAAATAGTAAATAAGGAACCATGTCCCTTTAAATTCTTACTCGTATGCTACCAGTTTTGGTGCCATGGCTTGCTCTATAATTGTCCACAACCAGAGTGAAGACCCTGTAGCTTCAGCTGGACTTAATTAGGTTCTTCTTAAATTTCTAGACTCAGAGACCAGAATTAGAAACTATGCAAACTAAACCTCTGAAACGGTTTTGTAAGTGGGACCTGCTCTTATCCCACAGGAGCATTCTTTTTTATTATTACCATTAAGTTGTCTTGCCTCTGTGATAAATTGCCTTGTTGAAATCCTTATTTTTCCTGCTAATGTTTTTCATGGTGTTTGAAGCCCAGGATAGCCCTGAGTCAGACAGATTAAGCTGGCCTGTAGCTTCGGCTCTCACAGCAAGATTGCGCAGGCTGATCACAGTATATCAGCGCTGTAACCGCAAGGAACTAGCACGGCCAGAGGTTTTGGTGCCTTCCAACCACAGTTACTGGCTTCAGGAAGAGATGATCAGAAGGGCTGAAATGGATCCCATCATTAAGGAAATGCAGAAAAGGTATTTAGAAATTATTTCTATTATTTTTTTAATTGCTTTCACTAGACTCTTAGGGTACTCTAAAGAGATGGTACACATTAAAATTTTCTCTCACAATTGTCACATCCCATCCCCTCATTCTAATCATACAGATGGACAAGGAGAGAGCAGGCAGACTTCTACAGAACAGTTTCCTCTTTCGGAGTGATCTACGACCCAGAAAAGAAGTGCTTTGACTGGACTCAATTCCGAGCCTTATCTCGTCTGGATAAAAAGACAGATGAAAGCTTGGAGAAGTACTTCCACAGCTTTGTTGCCATGTGCAGGAATGTCTGCCGGCTCCCGCTCAGAAAGGATGATGGTAAGAGGCGCATCTGCATTATCTTTAAATCTCGAAAATGGAGATGTAATGTGTTGTTTTTCTGGCAACTAATAATCCTTATTAAAGATTAGCACCTATTTAAATCACAAACTAGACACACATAGAAAAGCCAGACCCTTGTTTTTCCCATTTAAAGCAGCACAGTATTGTATGATATATATGGATTATGTATCAGTTAAGGTTTAGCTACAGTGGAGTTCATTTCACTAGATTTGTGCTAATCAAAATAAATTTGAAAGCCTCCTCTGATTATTGGCAAGAAAGTGTTTATCTCATTTTATAAAAGGCTCACCTTGGGACCAAAGACCAAATATATGAAGCCCATGCCTCTGTGCTTTTGATCCAAAAGAAGGCAAAAAACAAACAATCGTAGCCATTTCCAATTATGCCACAAAAAGGTGGGGAAAATCCTACTTGACATAATGGCAATCAAATTGTTCCTTGGATTACCTACCTGTTCACATACATACCAAATATATGTAATGTAGTTAATAAATCTTTTCTGAGTATACTGCAATCTGCTATTAAATATTAAGCATTAACCTTTATTATTTTCCATAACTTAGCATACATATCAGTTATATCCTTGAATATTCTGTTTATGCAAAAAAGCATCCAAGACTTTTTTTGTTTTTTAAATTATCTATATAATCTGATAAGGCAGACCGGCATATTATACTGTTGCCTAGTTTGTGATCTATAATTGTTTCCAAGTCATTTTCATTTAATGTTATCCCTAACTCAATCCCATTTAATGTATAAGTAGCGTGTGGGCTCCTTACTCCAAAAAGCATGAATTTACATTTATCTGTATTGAATATCATCTGCCAGACAAATGACTTTTAATGCCCAATTCAAGATTATTTGTAAACAAATTAGAGAGGTGGACTCAGGAGAGAACCCTGAGGCACTCCACTTACTACAATTTGAAAATGTTTCATTTACAACTACCCTCTGCACTCTATCTTTAAGCTGGTGTTCTAGCCAAGCATACGATTTTTTTTGTCTAAATCAATGAATTTCAGCCTAACTTGTAATCTTTTGTGACGAAGTAGATAAAATTCAGTTAAGTTAGTTTGGCATGACTTGTCTTTCATAAAACCATGCTTATTCCTGCTGATTATATTTTGTTTAAAATTAATTATTGTATATTATCCCTTAACAGCCCTTCAAATTATTTCCCAACCACAGATGTTAAGCTCACGTGTCTGTTGTTCCCAGGTTGAGTTTTTGAATCCTTTTAAATCTAGGCACCAAATCTGCTCTTCTCCAATCCTCAGGTTCAGCTGATCCATCCCTGTTTTTGGATCCCATAACAGAAGAACGAGCAGCAAGGACTTTATACCGCATCGAACTCCTTAGAAAAGTCAGGGAGCAAGTACTAAGACATCCACAACTTCATGAGCGTCTCAAGCTATGCCGACCCAGTCTTTACCTTCCTGTGTGGTGGGAATGTGGCAAACATGATCGGGATTTGTTGATCGGCACCGCTAAGCATGGACTGAGCCGTACAGATTACTATATCATGAACGACCCTCAACTGACTTTTCTAGATGCTTATCGTAACTACTCCCAGCATAAACGAAATGGTGGGGAGAGCATGTGTTGTCATTACCAAATGAACTCCAAAATGTATGAACCTACTGCTTGCCATTTGGAAAGTGCATGTGACTCTAATAAGCTAGAAACTGAAAACAAGATTAAAATAGAGGTTACAGAGGAACCTATTCCTAGCCGAACAAGCAGTCCACAGGACTTATCTTGTGACAATTTTATCTCTCAAGTCGGAGATATAATTTCCAGTAACCATGATGAGTGTTCTTTGCCCGAGTCTCTCATGTGCATGATGTATGATGAGAAGACATGTAACAGTGGGCTTATTGATGCTAACACTAGTGAACAGAGTCCTCTTACACAGGATACCTTTTTGGGTTTGAATGTAAAGCACGAGCCAGCTGATTATTCATTGGGTAAATCAAAAGAAGGGAACTTGATGCCTGTTAGGGAATCGGCAACTGGAGATTGTTTTCTTGGAAGCCAAGATCAGGATTGTGATGAGCCAATTGGATTGCCAGGTAACCGAATAAATGAACCATTTGATGCCACTGAAGGTCACCTTGATTTACCAACAGAAGAAGATGAGCAACCATCAACAGATGTTATTGGACAGAGGAACGCTGGTGTTTTGAATGATCATTTTTGTACATCTCTTGTTCAATCTGCTGAGCAGTCCTTGGCTTTAGATTTGGAATTTCTTGACAAAACTTTTGCAGATCACTCAGCACTCAGTCCTAATATCAATGAAGTCAAGGATTGCAGTCCTATATGTGACGGACCTGGAAGTCCAAGTTGCAGTGAATTACCAATAGAAGAGAAAGAAGAATGGGGGGCTGAGCTCCAGGAAATTAAAGAGGATCCCATTGTAAAATGGCATAAAGAGTTAAATGACATGAAAGAAAGTCCACTGGAGGGCAGACTTGAAGAAGAGCAAGTACAAGATTTCTGCACGCAGAAGGATTCCTTAATGTCTGTCGAAAGTCAACATGTTCAGCTGCTTAATGACAAAGACCCTTTGGATTTGAAACAGAAAACTGGCCACATGCTTTCAGGTCTCTTGAAGAGCAGCTCTGTAGACTTGAAAGAAAGAGACTCTGAAGATAATCTAGCAATGGAGTCCAAATGTTCTTTTGAGGAGAATGAAAAAGTGAAAGAGGAGGAGTGTGAGATCAAGAAGGAGAGTCTGGAAGAGGAGTGCAGCTGTAAAGGTGAGTTATAAAAAAAATGGCATTTAGCAACCACTTCCAAGAAAATGATACAGATATGTGAATATTCAGCAAATCCAAGTAAGCCTGGGTACAAAACAGCTTCAAGTTAGCAGTTTTTTTTTTCAAGGAAATTAAAGAAAACTTGCACGTCTCACTATGAGACTTTTTTGAAGGCCTCATAGTGAGAACGATTTTGCATACAATGGTATAGCAAGCGCTCCACTGATGTGGGTTAATTTATAGTGAGACATGCCATTATAATGGTGCAGGGTGCGTAATGAGAGAATCCCTGTTTCCTCTCCATGAATAACAAACCCAAAGCACACCAATAAGTATTGCACATAAAAATATTTTATTATATAATTGGGGAGAGTGGGGGGGGAACACATCAAAGCTAAAGTGCAAACATGCAGACAAAACATGCAAAGAGTATGTATGTACCGAATATATAACCACATAAAGCAAACTGTAAAGTGCTCTTAGTTTAAACGCACTAGTAAGTGCGCCATCAAATATACTGACCAAGAGCTGGAGACCACAAAGCCTCGGCGTGAAGCCTTCAAGGGGGATCTTAAATAGTGAGAATGAAACATTATTCTGTCCTTGAGCTAATAAAACTGCTAACTTGAAGCCATTTCGTGCCCAGACTGACTTGAATTTGCTGAATCTGACTTTGGAGTATTTGCCACCTTTGGTTTGAGTGCATAAACTGTGGCATTTGTTTCAGTGTGCTCCCTACCTACCATATTGAACAGATATGTGAATATTACAAAGTCTAAAAGGTTCTTTTACATTGTATTTTCTATAATCTAATGGGAAAAAAAGCCCATTACTTACTCAGGGGCAGACAAGTATTAGTAAAACTATGCTTCATCTGCCTAATAGCAGTTGTGCACAATAAATGTGCAATTGCTCTGAGCACTCTCTTCTGCCAGTTAGTGCACCCAGCCCAGGTCTTCACCTGTGCCGTGGTGCTTAAAAGCATTTGTGCATGATTTTTATTCCATTACATCATAAAACAGACTTGTACATCTCTGTGATCCCCTATTTGCTGCTTTGAATGTTAGATATTCTCACTGAAGGTGAGCCAGTAGTTAATGGCTATATCACCCTTCATGTCTGATACAACCTCATTCACAGCCAAAGTAGGTCTTTCAGAATGTTGCAGCTAAGTAGCTGGTATGTCTTTTTCATGTCTTGCATCTTCTATTCTATAGAGTTTCTTGACAAATACTCAGAAGAGGATGTTAAACACTGCACAATAGCTGCTCCCAGGGAGGTGGTGCAGGATTTCCAGGACGGTCGAGCTCCTACCATCGCACAGCTACTACAGGAGAAAACTCTCTATTCCTTCTCTGAATGGCCCAAGGTCTGTAAACGGGCCTTGTTCTAATTGCCCCTTTAGCAACTACAAAATATTAGCAAAATAGTAATATTTACAAATCAGAACCACTATCCTCACCTACTGTTTGCGTCTCTACACCTATGTCCCTATGTAGTGTGTAAGGGTTAATATTTTTCTTCTGCAATACAATTTGTTTTAGTGAGTGTGACACATGTTTTTGTTTTGTGACAGTCACTCAGAGCCTCACACACACTCTGTGCATTTATGTATCCTGTGAGTGGATGTCGATTGTGAGGTCAGCACATAATGTCTACATTGCAGAATCCTGCCATTGTTGGATCCTGTGGGTGTGGATTGTGAGGTCAGCCATGATGTCTGCCATAAAGAATCATGCTCCTTTGAGTTGACAGATATTTTGAGGGTTAACAGAGGATAACAGGGCTGGGCAAGTTGTTTTCACAAGTTGTTGCAGCAGTGTATTCTCTGATTGATAGCTGGGACAAAATAAACATTCCTGTTATTAAATGCATTTTTACATAACATTGTGGAATAGCAGATTTCATAGCACTCTAGCTGATAAACCATAACATTTAAAATTGTTGTGTACGTTTTTACTTTTCTTGCGCAGCAACATACGTAGAGTAAAATATAAGAAATTGAAAAGGTATCAGAACATGTACCTCTCTTTGTTATGGTTGTTTCACATCACAGACTGTCAGAAGTTATAATCAGAGGAATCAGTATTTCATTTGTTTAGACAAGCAAAGCTCTATTAATTACCTTACTTAGTGCCTTACTAACCACCACAAAGGTGCTAATAAACCCAGATTCCTGATAGGTGCCGACTTAGAGAGGCAATAATACATAATATAACAAAAGCCATATATTTCTGAACTATAAGATTCATGGCAAAAACTGTTGAGACAAATTAGACAAGAAGTTCTAATAACATTCAGTACAATATCCCAGCAGGAAATATTCTTTAAGGTGAAACAATAAACCTAGCATAAGGCAACTGATCAAGTTTTTATTCATCATAAAGTTGTTACAACAGAAAAGGGATACTGTAGTTCCAGGAATACAAAGCTGTATTCCTGGCACTACCGATCCCTCTGCCTGCCTCGCGCCTCCTTCTACCAGATTTAACATTGCAGCATTAGGTGCAAAAAGGGACACAGCACCCAGAATACTTAAATGAGCTGATGTCCCTCGGTGCTGGGTTGTGTCCGCCTCCTCCAACGTCATCTGATGAGGGGACCTAATGCGCAAGCTCAGCAAGCACCGCAAGTGCATTAGGCCCTCCCATAGGAAATCACTGCCTCAATTCTTTCTTATGGGGATTTCACTGATGCTGAATGTCCTCATGTAAAGCATGAGGCCGTCCAGCATAACCTAAGGGACTCAGTCCTCTAGAATCCAGAAAGTGCCTCTAGTGGCTGTCTGATAGATGGCCACTGGAGACAGTTTTAGTGCAGCAAAATAATCATTACACTTTCAATTACTTACATTGCAGGACTAAGGGGGACAGGGACAGTGCACCCAGACCATTTCAAGACAAAGCGATCTGGATGTCTATAGTCTATAGTGTCTCTTTAAATATGTGATGTGAACACAAATGTCCAACTATGCATGATATATAATAAAATGATTCCCTGTTGCGCACTGAACCAATGGCAGCAATCTTTCTCTAACATCACAAATGGGTAAAAGAAATGAATCCTTATTTTCCTGCCAAACTTTTATTTCCATATACTAGACTAAGTCATAAGATTAGGCACTTATATTAGGTCCAAGTGTTACAAAATTAAAAGTAGGCATTTATATTCTCTCCAATTACTACTGCAGTTAGGAGAATCTCTTTAGTCCAATTAGTCCAATTTTGATTATATCTCTATCTACCTGAAGGGTCAGATCAAATCACCCCACTTCCATAGGAAAAATATCAGCACACTTATACTACCTGTGGAAGGCACTGTTGTTCAAAGGATTATTTCCATTTGATCTGGATCATGTCATTAAGTGACTTACCTGCCTGAGATATCAATTATATGGTTTTAATGGCCGCAATCAGGAGAAGCATTCCTTTGCTTGAAGCCTGTAGACATCATATAAACAAGTAATCGTTTTATTTACTTTAACACAATGTAACTATAGACGGCCCAGCCCCTCCTAGTCTCTTTTACATACCATTGAGATCTGTTTTAAGAGTAGCTGCTAGCTTAACCCTTTTATCCTGCGAACGCACATGCTGAAGATATATAGAGCAGTAGGTGAATAATTTTTTTTTTGTAGTGTGCACAGTATGTATCATTGAAATTATTAAAGCAAAATGAACTGTCTCACACTCTATTAATATATATGCAATGTTACAATTCTTAGAAAAACATTGTTATATCTTTAATGCGCAATGATATGTTTCTTTCACTCCATTTCAATATAGAGTTTTCATACTAAACTCTTTGCTATATATAATATTTAAATATTCTTTGTATAAATGGAGTTCTGGTAAATCAATATATCTTTATCTGGTTCCATTGTCAATCCTCCCATCATAGACTGATGAGATCTCAGAAATGTGTGGCTTGGAAATCAGTGTTTTTTTTTTGTTTTTGTTTTTTTAAAGTCTTTGTCTTAAGATTCGGCAACTTTGTTTCACCTCTCCTTTTACAGAATAAGTGAGCAACATGGCTTCCATGTTACATTATAATTCATGGGTTTTAGTTAATGATTCATAGTTCTTGCTTGATATAGTCAATATGCCTGGGACAATAGAAATCAAAAAAAGTTAAAAACTAAATTTGAAATGTTATGCAGGCAGGCTGCTATGGAGTAATTAATGCTAATGAATAATTGGAGACGGTTACAGCAGTACCCAAAAAACACAAAACCAAATAACTTTGTGCTTCTGACCTTGCACCCTGTTGCTCAAGGCAGGGTTGAATCCAAATGCACACCAGACCTTGTTTGGAAGATACTTAGCTATATGCATAAAGTAAAAAAAAAAAATAAGTGCAACTAGATGCTAAATATGAACAAGCAATGCTACATACAATGTCCTAATAAACATTTCTGGCAGTGACAAAGTGGAAACCCGACACGTCTCTTTGGTCCTTCAGTAAACTGCATATAGCACTGGATGTGCACATTTAGCATCAAGTTGCGCTTTTTAAATTTATGCATATGGTTGGAATGAGGTTGTAGGTATCTTCCCAACAAGGTCTGGTGTGGACCACTGTCCACTAATCAAGCACTTCAAAGTGCCCAAATTATTTCAGGTATCCAACAAGTGCATAAAGGCTATGTACTGTTCCTTGCGGCTCTCTGGGTATATGGACAATACTTCAGAGGAAGTCCCTTCATGGCCCTTTTGCTAGGTTGGGGAGGGTTGGTAGGAGTAATAAGTTGTCAATGTTCCATCTTGGCACAAAATAATTTATTTTAATAAGTCTTATGCCCTGTCAGACATTTGTCAGTGCATCGCTTTACCTCCCACTTTTTATGTCATTCAATAGGATCGAGTGATCATAAACCGGATAGATAACATCTGTCACGCAGTGCTGAAAGGAAAGTGGCCGTCATCCAGCCAGCAGTTTGAAGCACAGTGCATGGTGCCATCATCTGTGTTGAACAGTAACTTGTGTACAAGGAACAGCTACACTGCTTCAGAAGCACAAAACGCAACCTTCAGCAACGGTGCCCCTGCTTCACATGCACAAAAGGTGGGTACAGTTTCATGTTGCTTATAGAAGAGAATTATGTGCAGTTACCCTTATTTCACATGTTGGTAAATTAGGAGGCAGTCTGCTTTCTTTAGGCTGAGTGTGCAAAGAAGTAAATGGGAGAGGAACAAAAATCTGTTTGTTTTTGTTAGTTATTATAGTGTGACAAAATATGGTCAATTAGTAGTGTTTAGTGTGTTTGTTTTGTTTAGTTTTTCTCCTTTTTTGCATTTAAATTGTTAAATTATGGAATATTATAAAGGTTAATGCTTGATATTAGTTGAAGTATAGTCAGAAAGATTTTTTAACTACATTACATATAATCAGTATGGATCCCCACACCTATCCCCTTTTATTTTTTTTTATTTTTTTTATTTTTTTTGCATAATTGGAAATGGCTACAACTGGGATTTTTGCCTTCTTTAGGTTCAACGGCATAAAATAATGGGTTTCAAGATTGAACTTGATGGATTTCACTTTTTCTTTTCAACCTAGACTACTATGTAGCTTTCTAGTTTCCCATCTTTTTTTTTTTTTTTTCTTTTAAATTTTTATTTTACAATATATGTTTACTTGGACAATTTAAAGGGACACTCTTGTCACCCAGACCACTTCAGCTCAATGAAGTGGTCTAGGTGTCAGGTCCCTCTAGGGTTAACCCTGCCTGCTGTAAACATAGCAGTTTCAGAGAAACTGCTATGTTTACATTTTGGGTTAAGCCAGCCTCTAGTGGCTTCTGGACAGCCACTAGAGGCGCATCTGCGAAGCTGGAGGCTTATTATGCCTCCATCACGCAGAGCGTCCATAGGAAAGCATTAAAAAATGCATGGCTGCGCATTCCTGCCCGCTGACGTTGGCGGGAGAGGAGAGGTAAGGGAGCCCGGCAGTGGAAGAAGGTGAGTAACTGAAGGGTTTTTAACCCCTTTAGCCCTACGGGAGGGGGACCCGGAGGGTGAGGGCATCCTCAGGGTACTATAGTGTCAGGAAAACACCGATTTGTTTTCCTGACACTATAGTGATCCTTTAATGAACATGAATTAGGGGGAATTTTTTCTTTCTTTCTTTTTACTATATGATGTAAAGGTTTGTTTTTAATAACTTTTTTTAGGATAAACTCTCATATATCATCTTATAGCAAGTGTTAAAATTTTACCTGCTCTTACAATTATGCCTAGTCTTATAATTTATTTTCACAGGATGCTTTAGCAGCTACCTCCTTTTCCAGTGATGAAAGGAAACTTCGAAGACCGTATGAATTTGAGGGCAGTAGGGCGGATAATAAACATAGGGGCCTGGAGCATCTCAATGTGCCTCATGGGCATAACTCTACAACACTGAATGGCTGGCGGGAGACTGCTATGGAGCTTTGTAGAGAACAGGCTGCAAGTGGTAGCTCTTCTTACTCCATGAACACCAGCACACCCAAAATGTCTAGCATGACTGGGTTACAGAGTTCCTTGGGAATGGACTTGTCTGGAATCCTACAAGCTGGGCTGATCCACCCAGTGACAGGGCAGATTGTCAATGGGAACTTACGTCGAGAAGAATCCACCCTTCGAAGGAGGAGAGGTAGAAGAAAAAATGTTGAAGGGATGGATCTTGTTTTCTTGAAGGATCGGGGGATGCACGCTGGAATACTGGTGAGAATAGATTGTTCCTTGACAATTTTTGGTCACCGAATACGATGTATCGGTGTGAGCATTCGTGGCATGGCCTAGGTCAGGGCTAGACACCCTTTGGCACTCCAGGTGTTGTGGATTACATCTCCCCTGATACTTTGCCAGCATTATGGCTGCACGAGCATTCTGGGAGATGTAGTCCACACAATTTCATGGGCAGGAGGTTGCCTATGCCTGGCCTAGGTGATGGTAAAAAATAATGCTGTAATCAGAACATGTTTAAGGGTTTTAAGATAATTGAAGATTAAACATTTTTTTAAAAATTGCTCGGAATATTTCCTTTTAGTGGAACATCCAGCCCTTGTACAGCTGCAGAAATTGGCAACATGCATCTGAATCTCTGTGTGTTTAATACCTGAACGTATAGTGTATAATGATGTGTAGACTTGTGTGGACCTGTGAGTTTACAAAGACATTTTGTCATATTTATGGATTCACTTTGAACAGTTAAATGAAAGCAATGTGGGAAAGCAAGTTACACAGAAGGGCATGGGAGAGAAAAGGAAGCAACATTAACACTAATTAAAGGACCACTCTAGGCACCCAGACCACTTCAGCTTAATGAAGTGGTCTGGGTGCCAGGTCCAGCTAGGGTTAACCCATTTTTTTTTTATAAACATAGCAGTTTCAGAGAAACTGCTATGTTTGTAAATGGGTTAATCCTTCCTCCAATTCCTCTAGTGCTTTCCTATGAGACCGGCTGAATGCGTGCAGCTCTTGCCGCGCATGCGCATTCAGCCGAATGGGAGGAGAAGAGGAGGAGAGCTCCCCGCCCAGCGCTGGAAAAAGGTAAGTTTTAACCCATTCCCTCTCCCCAGAGCCGGGCGGGAGGGGGAACCTGAGGGTGGGGCCACCCTCAGGGCACTATAGTGCCAGGAAAACGAGTATGTTTTCCTGGCACTATAGTGGTCCTTTAAGGATGTTTGGAGTTAAAGGTTCAAAGCTAGTCCATTTTCTTAGATGATGAGAAATTACATTTCTTAAAATCAAGAGATCCTTTAGGTGGGGAACATAATATCTATATTTACACCCATTATTTGCCTGTTTATTGACAAAGTAGTTTAAGGTAATCAAGGTGTCTATTTAAAACCGAAATACTGGTTAATTTAGGGCCATATATGGCAAAACGGATTCATTTTGCAGTAAGAGCAACAATAGTGGCACATTGGGGGAAATCAGAGGAGCATGAACTAATACAATGGAACGTTGTGCTGAAGTGAATCTTCCACATATACAGACTTTAATAGTACAAGCGGGGTGCTGATCTATTTGTAAACATGCCTTAAAAAAAGGTCCATATTTAGTAATTAACTTATTTCCTCCACTTCACTATAGAAAGCATGTATTCTATTTAATTAAAGGGACATTATAGGGACAGAACCGAGCAGTGAGACTGCAGGGGCATGAGCTATACACCCAAACTGATCATTAAGCGAAAGTTGTTTTGATTTCTCTAGTATCCCTTTGGGCTGCCATTTCTGTCACATATGTACCTTCTCGATAATAAGTCAAAGTAATCACTACTTCATGGACTTACAGGACTTGAAACTATTGTTTGCTAAAATAACTGATCTCCTCGGCATAGCCTAGCATTATAGACCTCCAATAAGATAATGTTAAGACCCTTAAGTGGCAGTCACTACCTGCTGACACAGGTTATGTTATACTAGGAAAGTTTACTGGCTAAGAGTCATACTGCAAATACCATAACTCAGATGGAATAGTATGCTCTATGTTATCAACACATTATTCAAATATTGTGGAATGAGTCCTTCTTAAGTGACCATGACTCATTTGGTATGGTTCTATGGAATGTTTTGAAGAACAAGGAGGAAGTCAAATATTGTATTGTAGCTCCTATGCTGATTTAGTAGCTGTGTTGCCTTCATTTTTGGCTAGCTTAAGTATGTTGACTATTTTGTTTTATATCTAAGAAAAAATGTGAAGTCTTTTACGTGAATCAGCTGGGGGGGTGGGGTGGGGGTGTTTTTGTGTTTTTTTTTGTTTTTGTTTTTAATTTTTTAATTTTTCTTTTATAGCTCGTCCTTATTTTAATTGTGCCAGTAAAAGTTACTATTCTCTCTATCATGCAGGGATTGCGAGAGGAATCTGGCCAACCAGGCTCTGCGCAAACTGAAGGCTCTGTTCCAGCATCCCCTCAATTACCATCCACAGGCACTAAACTACAATCAGAGAAGGTGATCCCCAACAAAAGTCTACTAGAGTGGTTGCGACAACAGTCTGACTGTACCATAGACATACCAACTTACGGAGGTGTAAGTGCCTGTCCTTAAGAGATGGATTTTGATTCATAATCATTCATTGGTTACATTTGTGTTATAATTCGGAGTATATTTCAGATTAAAACAATGCGGTAGGAAGCCAAGGAAGGATAGCGGTTCCCAACCTTTCTTAGATCAACCACAAAAACAGCTGAGAGAGGCTGAACTTGAGAGATGCATGTCTCTTTTCTGCTTATGTAACTATTAAGGCACGCTAAAATGAGAGCGCGTTTTCCAAAGCACAACTACCTTTTTATCAATCTGTTTTGCCTTTATCATCAGCTTATTAATTTCACATTTACTGTACTTCTAGCCGAACTGACTCATTAGTTTAACTTGCCAGATAGGAATGCAGCTTTGAAGTTAATATTTTCGTGACACACAGAGTTTGCTTTAGGGACAGGAACAAAAATTAGAGTTGGAACCGAACCCTAGCCCAAAGAGTACTGTGGCCCAGCCAACAAAGCAAAATTCACGCCAGGTGGGGCACATTATATATTAATTTGGGTGACATAGTGTCCCTGCCTTGCCCTGCCTGTGGGGTATATTAAACTAAACTGGGGGTATCTAGTGTGTCCCCTCTCACCAGCGCCCACCTGTGGCCAAAGAAACGATCGGGAGGGACATAGTGTCTCCCCATGCCTCGTCAGAATTATACAAAATGGAGGGGACCTACTGTCCCTCACGTGTCGTAACGGGTGGTTGCTATTAAATAAGCCCTCACCTGTTGCCGCTCCCCATTGGCGGCTGGTTGGTGACCTAAATATTAATAGGGGTAGACCCTAGTATCACCCCCCAACCTTCACCCATTGGTCAAGCCCCTCACTATTATTATCTGGGCCTCAATTGTGGCAATAAATACCTGTAAAATAGAAAAAAAAATTCTTAGCATTAGATTTCTTTTTTTCTTTTTTTTTTTATTGCATTTTTGTTTTTTAAGCCCCCCAAGAAAGCCAAATGAAATTCCATATTGTCACGTTGAACTAAAAAAAAAAGGGCAAAAAAAACAATCCCCAAAAAATGAACGAAAACGTATTCATCTGAAAACAAATGCCCAAGTCTATTAGTTAACAATTTGTTAACTAATCAGTGTGGTTTTAGCAAAATTAAGAAAGCGTACTGCAGAAGAGATTATGGCAGGCTTGAGTTTATTTAGTAGACTGAACTTGTAAGTTCATCTAAACAAGAACTTTGTCACGATGAACACATGGTTGCAAAGTGTGAAATACACGGACAGAAAGGCAGAGCGTTAAGTAAGGTTCTAAGAAAGGTGAAAATGCATTTTTCAGTGCATAGCACTGTAATAATCTTGTCTTGTAGAGTTTTTCAGAGAAGCCAAAACAGAGGCGTCAGCGTTGCAAGGACCCTCACAAACTAGATGTTAACATGCTGACTGGAGAAGAGAGGGTGCCTGTAGTAAATAAGGACACCGGACACAAGGTAAGATTGGTGCAGGCCAATTATGAATTTAAAATAACTGTAATACATTTTATGGCACTGGTGGCTAAATAGGCACGTTTCTTTAAATTTGAATTCTCCTATTGGGGTCCACTGATACCTAAAGCATTATAAATTCAGAAATATAACGATTTATGTTGCAATATAGACTTGCCCAGCACTTGTAAAACACTTAAAAGTTCTTCATTTAGGCATTTGAAACGAACATCATTAAGGATGTTCTTTCCGTTCAATGCAGTGATAGCCTTGACACTGCAGATGTTGCTGAACTACATTTCCCAAGATACTCTGCCTGCTTTTAAGGCACTCTCTTTGTTTTGTTTTTATGTAAAAAAAAAAAAAAGTATTACTTCAAGTGACTTCAGGTGTCCTGTAGGGTAACATTTCTTGTGGGTTCTGTGGCTGCTAGAAAGCTTTGTGGACTTCAAGGTGTAGGTGGGGTGAATTTATTTTTTTTTTGTCTGTATTTCTACATTAATGTTTCATTATAGTTGGGAGGCGCACTGGCGCCAGCACTGCAGGACTTGCCAGTGTGGCTGGATGCAAACAAGAAGTATGTGGTTCCACCAGACTGGGCTGATATTGTTAGGCTTTCAGTAAGTCTCCCGGAGCATACCTAATCTTTTTTGTAATGGCTCTATATGTTATTTCTGATTTTATATTGGGGCATGAGATGAAACAAAGCTAGAATAAAATCATGTTAAATAATGTAATGTTTAGTTCATATATTGCATTTCCCACACCTGTTAAGGAATGTTCACATTTCTTATGGAATATCAAGCATACTTCCCTCTCCGCCCTCCCTCCCCCTGCCCTCTGCCCTCCCTCTCCCCCTCCTCCGCCCTCCATCTCCCCCCCTCCGCCCTCCATCTCCCCCCCTCCGCCCTCCCTCTCCCCCCATCCGCCCTCCCTCTCCCCCCTTTCCCTCCACCCAGTCGACACTTTCCTCAGTTGCAGTGCCATAACCAAGTTTGTGTGGCAAAGTAGAGGAGACATACCACCATTTTTCTAGTTTATGGCATATGTACAATATGGTGTGGAAAAGAAATAGAGCATAGTTAAACTCTGCATCTCTCTATGTATGTATCTATAATCTAAACATACAAAAATCGGTGCACTCCTGTTCAAATTAAGTTAAAAGCCCATAAAGTTTTTTTTTGTTTATTTTGTTTTTAAGTCTGAGTTGAGTAAAAAAAAAAAATATATATATTAAATTAGCTATAGTATATGATGATACAATGCAGAATTTCAGGGATTTTGGCAGGTTCTACTCTATAATAAACAAATTAATGATTGTACTTATGAGATTAACCCCCACTTACTTGGGCTTACTTAGGATGTCCTCCTGGGACTCTCTGCAGTTTAAGAGGCTTCAGTCGCCTAAACATACTTTATAAGGGTGCTGCTGGTGAATCATAGCTACAACATATAGAATTCAGCTGATACCACATTAAGTGAACTTTAAAGCCCATAATATTATTATTATTTTTTTTTATTATTAAAATGCCTGACTTTGGTTAAAATAATGGGGTTTTAGTCACAGTATCTGAGCATACATTTCATGTGGGTGCCTGGTGTGCTGTGCTCAAGTTAGTGTTAGGCAGTACATGAAGACCCATAGCGTATGTCAGAGTATATGGGGACTTATTCGGCATGCTCGCTCTGGGTTGATAAATTCCGTATCCATACTTGTACTGCCACTACGGAGCGTCACTTCTCTATATAATATATTTATATGGGAGGTAGACTTAGCGTGAGGAACTTATGCAAATTGCTGCACTATAAGCTTGCTCAAAGTACTTCAACCTAGGCCAGGAACATACATAGTTCTGGATCCTGGACCATCCTTTTTGTTTCCAAGAATTTGTGAGGTAACTTCTATTGAATACTGAGATTATTGTCATGAATGAATGTTGCCATGACATTTACTTGTATGTGACATACAAATATGTTTGACTTTCTCTCTCGTCTGTTCACTGTAAACTGTTGTGCGTAACTCAAAAATCCCAGTTAGTCAACTTGTTTAAAAACATTTTTTTATATTTTAAATTCATTGTATCTAGAAATTATACTGTAACCTTTAATTGAATGCTTCCTATTGGCAACTTGGGGACAGTTACTTTTGTTTTTCTTTTTTAGGGTTTTCTTCCCGAAAGCAAGTTTGGAAGGGTTTTATCAGAGCCTATTCTACGTGATACTGGACCTAGAAGGAGAGGAAGGCGTCCTCGAAGTGAACTGATAAAGACACCTGGAGCTGTAGGGTCTGACACTCCCTCTGGCATGAGTCCACTATTCATGAATGGCTTAATAGCTGGAATGGATATAGTTGGGCTTCAAAACATGAGAAACATGCAGGGAATCCCATTAACTGGTCTGGTCGGGTTTCCAGCAGGATTCACAACTGTGTCTGCTAATGAGGATCTAAAAAATACATTGAGCATGTTACCCATGATGCTCCCTGGCATGGCAAACATGCCCCAGATGTTTGGTGTTGGGGGGATCATCAACTCTCCAGTTTCATCGTCTGTGCCAACGTCACTAGGAAGCACAATAAAAAGTGGATCTTCCCACACAGAGAAAGCCACTGAGGACAAAGACATCTGCCAAGAAACTCAACGAGACACTGCACCATCAGAGAAGGTTGCGGGTGCCTCCTTTCAGGATCAATCAGAACCTGCAGTGACTACCAGCAGCTCTGTAGCATTCAACCCATTCCTTATCCCAGGCATGTCTCCAAGTCTGCTGTACCCTTCTATGTTTCTGTCTCCTGGCATTGGCATGGCAATACCAGGGGTCCAGCCCAACCGCCTGTCAGAGGCAGGTGGCCTTGATCCCCAGCGGAGGAAGAGAAAGAAGGCAAAAGGGGACTCCCAGGCCTCTGAGACAGAGACTGTGCCCTTTACAGAAGGCACAGACCAGGAACAAGTGTCACCCAGTGGCCAGAACTGTACAGGTAAAACTGCGTCAGAAAAAGAGGAGGATGATTCTGCTTTAAGAAAGACTCCGGACCATACCAATTAGAACTTGTCCTCCAAAAAGTTATCTTTCCCATGGATGTTTCTAGCTCTGCCAGATCCCTGGGTTGTCAGTCAGTAAAATCAAAACTGTTCTGTTTTACCACTGGTGTGTCTGGAAAAGCTTGACATGATAAGTAGCTAGAATGGGAAAGCTGAAATACATCTGAGTTATTTTCTTTTTCTTTATTATATTGGATTGTTTTCTGTCATTCCAATAGGTATAAAAGCAAAACAAGTCTTCTTTTTGTGACACTCACTTTCTCTTCCTTCAACCCTTCCCTAGCCTAATCCCTACCCAAGGAAAAAAAAATCTAAAAGCTCTATTCTGAGCACAGCACAAGGTCTTAAAGCAGCAATCCCTTGATCCAAAGACGGGCTTTTAGCTAAAGCAATAGGACTGGTTCTGTCCATAAACCACGTGAAGCAGGAAGTTTTGATCTTTCCATGTGCAAAGTGTCTTATAGTTTGTAGCGTTTTAGCACATTGTACAGAATGTTCATTGACCTATAAGTAGGCTGAAAGAGAAAATCAGAAGGTATTGTCTTTGTTTAATCTAAAATCCCTGAAATATATTAAAAACAAAAAAAGAAGCATAACAAAAAATTATTTTAAAAAGTAGAAAGCAAGAGAAGTATTCAAAATCATTCTCCTCTTACTCAACCTCATTAAGCACGTTAATCTGTCTAGTTTTTATGGGTATACAAAACCTAGTCTACCTGGTTGATATACTTACATCACAAATGCAATATTCAATGATGTGGCATTTAAAAAAGCTTGCAGAGTATTTACAATTTTTTATATTTGCGTGTATGTTTTGTGTGTGTGTGTGTATATATATACATATATATCTTTATTTTATTTTTTTCTTTGCAAGCTTGACATCCAAAAAAAGAAGCAATGATATTTGGAATTCATAAACTCTGTTTACCAGAAACCTGTGATTTGCATTACTCCAACTACAACAGAGCTCCACTCCTCTTTCAGTAATTAAAAAGTAACAAAACTAGATGTATATTTCTTTAAAAAATATATAGTATTTTTTTAATATTAGAATATTCAGTATATGTAAGCTAGTTGTGATCATCCTTCTAATATTATCGTTTTTCAGGACCCGAGCAGTAAGCCTTATTTTGCTGCAAAGCTGGAGCTGAATTGGTTAAACTTACTAGTTCTGTGGGTTTTATAGCTTTTTGCTGTTCCAGAGATGTACTTTGTGAAGGACCCCCACCACCTCTCACTTACCTGGTAGCAAAATTATTCAAATGTCATTGTAGAATTTAAACATTCCTTTAAAAAAAAACAAATAAAAAAAAGTCAGAAGTGAAATAAGAATTTTATATAAAGAGGTACAAAAGGCAATTATAGGGTACCAATCTGAAACTGCAGCGTTACCATGGAAACCAATAGAATCTTCTTGCTGATTGCTCCTGTTTAAAAGTGGGTGTGTGTGTTTGTTTTGTGTTTTGTGTGTGTGTGATATAGATCTGTGCAATAGAAACAATATCCAAACATTGGGTAGCTTGTCAGATTATATTAAGAGTCCCAAATTCAACTAATAGGGGTTGTAATCTCAATGATATGGCATAATCTGTTGGTCCCCATTGATCGGTATTGACCCAGGGCATTCATCCTAGCTGTGCATAGTGGTGATTGTCATTAATAAAGAATCTTGGAGGGGAAATGTCACTTCCCAGGATATGTAATAGTCTATGTTCACATATCCCCTACATTTGAAAAATTATAGTTAAATTTATATGTCCAAACCTTTTCATCATGCAACTGAGCATTGCCTCTCTGTCAGTAATTGTCTTTTGCTCATTGCAATCCGTATAGAGGATACATACAGACAAGAAAAGAAATTAAACAATCTTTCTATTTCTTCTCATTTGCAATATGTGCCTTGCCGTGCCTGGACTAAATTCTATTTTGAGATAATTTGCAAAATCTTTACTATTTAAAAAAAAATAATAAAAAAAAAGATAATGATCTTCACAAAACACAAACTATATGAGATTTTCTGTGTTTTATTCAACTGTATAATTTCCATAGAAGTGACAGTTTCCCTTTAAAGATCAGACAATCTAGATGTGATGTAAGGAGCTATTGTGGATATTTCTCGAGGATATCTAGCAATAGGGGAAACAACAAAAATTGCTGTCGATTAACTTAATTTGCATTACTTTGTCCGTTTTAAATGCTCAGTTGGTGCCAACTAGGCTTCTTGGCGCAGCTAACCTTGATCTTTCAGATATGGCAAAAAATTGCTTGTGCAGCTAAACATAAACACTACGCCTTTGTAACCAACTTTACGTTTGGTTTTGTGTGAAGCTCAGAGAATCTGTGTAACAATTTGACTGAAACCTTTGCGTACCTTGGTTATATGAGTTTCTCCCATTCCCTCCACATTTGCTGAGATATCTTTCATCCCATCTTACTGTTGACCTATAATATATAGTAAGCAGTCTTTGCAAATTCCTTACATTTCATTTTTTTAACCCGCACTAAAAAAAGCATTGTTTAGATCTAGTCAGCCTGAATCTTAGCTTTTTTTCCCCCTGCCTTTTATTATTTTGAATTATACATGTCCTTTTTATTCAGAGATGTGATAGTTATACCTGGGAACTTTGCTGTTTTAGTGCCACAGCGATCTACACTCACCCTCTTCTTTAACTTACGGGGGTAAGGAGAGCGGACAATCTAGGCATTTTTCATCTGTAAACGTGGCAGATGTGCAGCAGCTCAATTGCACAGAATTTCCCTGTCAACAGGAAAAGTGGGGCTTGCCGTAGTCCTCTGTCCTTCAGTTCAAATCACTGCAAATTTCCAATAAAGGATAGGGAGCTCTGATATGGATCCATAATTTTATACAGAAGTAGGAAGGCTGTTTAAAATTGCAAAGATCTCTTACTACAGTGTTTAGGCTTCTGCTAGAGAAATTTGTATCACTAATGGCATTATATCACTTGCACGTATAGAAAACTATACATTCTATGCCTTATAGAACGTAGTGTATGGATATATTAAAAAAAAAAAAAAAAGAAGAAAAATTGGGACTGAAACAGGTAACGGGGTCCTTTAGCTACCTTTTTCTATTTAAGCACCCTTATAAAAATGAGGCACTTTTTTCTTCCCCTTCCCTCCTCCCTAAATAAATAAATCTGATGTATTAAATAAATAAAAGTATTATCCTTAAGAAAAGGTTCAACTAGGTTTGAAATATGTAGATCTATATTAAATATAATTATAAGTAAGGTAGGAATCACTGTAGAATAGTGTACCAAGGGGTTTATCCACTAAACAGTATTTTTTTTTTTTTTTTCAAATCTTGTATTTTGGCTTAATATTTCACACTTCGTCATATATTGGCGTTCCACAAACTCTCTCCCTTTAGTGAATTACCCACAATAATAACCCTAAATGTGCGGAGGTTAGCTTCTAATAAGTTTGGTTAATATACACTAATTAATTGGGTCAGAGCTTGTTTATTCATGTACACAAATTATGTGAATGAATGAATCTGCCATGCCTTAATAATAGATGCAAAGAGGCTCTTAGGCATTGTGAGAATTTAACTTTCAGTAACGACTGGACCAATGACATTGTGTATGTGAATAAATCAGCAGATGTATGTTTTTATATTTTATATAAAGCTTTCCTCATATTGGAAAAAATAACTGTTTCTGTGGTTTATGACCCAAGACCTGGGCAGCCTGCCACTAGTAGATTGGTACATACCAATGGCGTTGTGGTGGGGAAAAAGTGTGGATGAAAACCCCTTCCACCTGAAGTGGATAGTTAATACATTGCTAAACATAAATACTCACACCAATCAAGCCATAATATTTTATTTTCCCATAGAAATCTCACTTTAACAGTGCTCTCACTACTGCAAGGAATTCTGGGTAGGCCTATGCAAATTAGCTCAACAGCTGTCCATGAGTAGTTCACTGGCTTTGCACCTCTTCCCGAGTTGTGTTTCAAAGCTGTTGTATACACTGATATAAAGTAGCTTCGGTGCATATACTCCAAGGAATCCCTGTATGAAATGGAATTATGAGGCAAAAATATGGTTCTTTGTTGAGCTTGTTTGCATACGCCTACCCAGAATCCCTTGCAGTAGTGAGAGCACTGTTAAAGTGAGATTTATGTGGGAAAAGCAAGCCTTATGGCTTGACTGGTGTGTGTAATTGTGTTTAGCAAAGTATTAACTAGTGTATATTAGATTAGCTATATTAGTTCAGTAGACACCGGTGCCATACGATTGCATACTGCAATACTCTGGTATTTTGGCATTGTGTGTGTGTGTGTGTGTATATATATATATATGTATATGTGTGTATATATATATATATATATATATATATATATATGTGTATGTTATAGTCTTGGTTCATAAACCACAGAAATAGTTCTTTCTTCCAATATGAGGAAAGCTTTATTTAGCAAGCCAGTCTTACTTTAGCCACAGCAAAACATTGAACAAAAATAAAAAGCTACTCCACACTGGAGACTAACTTAATAGCGTACCGTCTCTATGCTACTGGGCAGCTAAGCAGACTCCAATAGTTTAACAAAATAAAATTCTTGCAAAATACCATTCCTTTCTATAGGATGTGGCTCTACAGCAGAAAGAGAGCCGCCACCTGATGGCAAATCCTGTTTTATCTACATACAGATAGTTGTGTATATTTTTTTAATTTCTTTTAGTGTAGAGCAGTGGTAGTCAGGAGGTTGATTCTCCGCTGTTGCAGAACTACAACTTTGCAATCAATTATTCTAGAACAAAATGGAACACTGGGATCTACCGATGACCATCCCTAGTGCAGAGTATTTTCAAAAAAATGCTGAAACCATCACTCGTACTTATAGGGATACTCTGAGCATCATAGACATACAGTGCACTGTAGTGATTTTGGTGGCAGAAGTTCCCTGGCAATTTTAGACCGTAAGTTTTCACCTGTTTACAGTTTTCCACCTGCCTGTCTGGTACCAACAGTCATTCTGGTCTGTATACACTCCCAGCCAATAATATCCAAAAATACTATGTTAACACGGAATTATGAACTTCTGCTTTAGCATATCAGTGCTGACCAAAACAACTGCAGGCACCCAACAGAGCCAGGTAATTGTCAAATCATTTCTTAACTGTTTTACAATTACCTTGGGATGATGCCAGGGAACTCCTGCCACAATAACCAGCACAGCTTGCTGTACTGCATCTTACTGGAGTAATTTAGGGGCTATTTGTGCTGCCCCTGTAGCCTTGCTGCTGTAAACATTGCCTTTTCTGAGAAACGGCACTGTTTATTTTTCCACGCGCTTTTTTTTTTTTTTTTTATGTTGTCAAGCCCATTAGTGGCTGTCCGGCAAACAGCCACTGCGAACTTTGAACTAACATAGATTCAGTTATTCATGTTTGGTGACAGCATACAAAGTATGCTGATGTCGGACACTGTATCTATCCAGTGCTTCACACAGAGAAACACTGGATTGGTGAATTGCGGCAATTGCTTCGCTTTTGCTGTGTATCCTTACTGCTTCTCTATGAGAAGCATGTGATTGGACACAGATCATCAATTGATGATTTCGCCCACCGAAGGATTATCTGGCTGCAAAGAGGAGTGTGTTGCAGCACTGGATAACAGGTATGTTTAGTGCTAAATTGTGTTGTTTTTTTTGTTTGTTTTTTTTTTTATTTTTTTGTTAGTGACAGCCCAGTACGGTAATCTGATTAATGAACACTAATCAAAACCAGATAGTTTTTATTTACTTACTGTTATTTTTAAAATAAAACTAACAAAGTTGATGATGTCTGCAAATTACATTAAATAGTAATCTGCATACCTTAAACTATAAAAAAATGAACACAAACACATAATGATAAATTATACACATGAAGGCAACCAAAATGTTGGGGAAAGGATCTATCTCTGCTCATTATCACTTTGCTGTACCGTTAGTGTTATGATTTATTTGATGTTTTCTGTGTAAATTAGCATTATTTGTGTTTGTGTTATGTTACTAGTGTGTTTTTTTTTTTTTTCCTGTTTAGTTGTAAGGCTTGCAGATTATATTTCTATATGGTAATTTTTTTTGTGTATGTGAGATACACTGCAGTCCAGCAACCTGGACCATATCACAATGTCAAAATGTGCAAAATAAATACTTGAGCTATTTATGGAGCTTTCAAACTGTTACACTTGTACTCAAATCCTTTTTACCTGCAACGAACTAATCAAATTCCTGTTAATCTGCGCCCGAATGAATCAGTCCAAGTAAATCCCAGACAGATCTATTCGTTCGGGTGCAGATTAACAGGAATTTGATTAGTCTGTCACAGGTAAAAAGGATTTGTGCACAAATCTACTAATTATGGCACTGCCATTTGTTCAGTTACTTCTATACATGTGAATAAAATATAAATTTTTCAAATCAGTTAACCCCGAACCATACCCTTTAAGATTCTTTTATTTGGGGTATATGTAAGCCTCACTGAAACAAGTGCTAAAACAAATACTTTTTGTTTTCTACATACACTTTTGTTATCTTTATTTTAGTATGGTTATTAGTCAGCATAGATTTTATAGATTTATAAAATATATAAAAAGTTTATAGGTAGATTAACTTTGTCCTTGAATTGCCTATGAGTCTTAGAGACATACATGTGCTCACATATATAATTTTTAAGTTTATACAGTTTCTGTTTACCCAATCAACCCATTGTTTTTTTTCTTTTTTATTATCAGCTACATTTTTTCACGCACAAAACTGATTTATTGCTGCACTTCGTTAGACAATTAGCAAGTTTGGGTAAAGTGATGGGACATTTAAATTGTGTTTATTGTTAACTGTTAAGACTTTTCTTTTTTTTTTTTTTTCTTGCACACCAAGGGAGGTTATACGAACATTACAATCTGTTTTTAGGAATGCTATCAATATGGAATGATTTGCTTAATTACTTTATGGCTGTGTAAAGCAACCAAAGGAGAATAAGTGAACATTTAATGTTGGCATTGAATTAGGATGACCTCATATTATAGTAATTGGCCCATAGTTGATTAATGCGTGTTTATGAAGAAGTATTTTTGCACGAGACTATTTCAAGAAAAGCATCAGCCTTTCACTTTGGGTAAACATTGCATAGTTCATTCCATACGTTAGACATTCATGTAGCAACCCCTTCCAATGCATAGAACAATTGCACAAACTGGCTACTGTAAAGGCATACTCTAAGCACCAGAGCAACTTTAGATTAGTTTTGGTGCACAAATGATGCCCATGCAGGCTCTCTGCTCAATTACCTGCCATTTAGAAATTAAAAGGTTATTCCAACCACCACGGCCACTTTAGTGATTTGAGGTGGTTATGGTGGTAGGAGTGTGGCTATGCAGCATTTCTGACTGAAATTATGTACATCCAGAGATATTTGCACTCCCAGCTTGTGTGACTTTGGCAGCCCGGAACTTTGGTGGTTTGTTTTTTGTTTGTTTTTTTCCACCTTAAATAAAAAATTCTTCCCTCTCTCCCATTGCCGGCTCAGAGCGCATGCATGCGCTCTAAGTCAGCAAAACAGTCCAATCACAGGCTTCTTTATATGACATCAGACAGAGGAGGGTGATCAGCAACGAGAACTTCGTCAAGTGTTGTATTATAGCTAAGGTTCATATTTTTTTTAAGTCTCAGAGGACCTCTTATCAATGTCCATAAGTCTAAAAAGGCAAAGGGTTTGAGTAACCCTTTAAATCACTTTGTTTTTGCAGCCTTAGTCATACCTCTCGTGTCTGTGACTTATACAGCCTCCCTACACACTTCCTGTAGAAAGAGATCTAAATGAAACACTTATTGAGCTGGAAGTAAAAAAAAAAAAATAGTATTTCATGGCTTATGCTCTAATTGCCTGCTTAATTGTGTGTGATCAGAGTTTGCGAGTTCTTAGGCAGAACTCAAAAAAGAGGGTTGATGTGCTCACATTCAAAGTAAGGCTCTTGGATGGGCCATGAGGCAAGGCCCAACAAGTGTCTGAGGTGGTCAGTGGCCTAATTATAGAGCCACCTCTATGTGTAATTAAAGCTTAATTAACCACATGATGTAAAAACTTCTAAAGTAAACACATTGTGCTGTTAGGTCTGAATGAACATGAAACCATCTTTTTCACTGGGACTGTGAGAGTCCCAACCAAGGAAGGTTTGGCTAGAGCTGCATAAACAGAAGCAAATGTGATTTAACTCCTTAATGGCAGAGAATTGAGCAGTGACCAAAACTGCTCCAGTGCGCTAAAGTTGTTTTGGTGCTTAGAGTATGCATTTAAGAAAACATATTCTGACAAGGCTCTTACTCAAAGCTAACCTTGGTTTTAAAGGCTTTGGTGAACATATACATAAGTTACCTTTTAACCCTTATGGTGCCAGAGGTATGCCCAGTACCAGTGATTTGCAAAGCAATGTATTGAGCAAGTGCATTTGACACACCACTGACACACAACATATTTTACTGTTATATAACATTCATGGTTTATTGGGTCAGGGTGTGATAAATCAGTCCTTTTAATTTTGCCCAAACTAAAACCTACTTGAAATTGTCAACCAATTTTATGTAAAATGTTGACAGTATGGGAACTATTATAAAAATCTGATTCTAAAAAAAAAAAATTTGCATCAATGAAAGATAAAATATGTTAAAAATGAAATGCCTCAGCTGTGGAACATCAAATTACCAAAGATTTTACATCGTTTCCATGCAGTGATTTTGCAGTATCTCTGACCACTTCTAGGTTTTCATCTGAAACCCTTATAAATATAGATGTAACGGATGTAATCTAGAAAGTCTGCCATGTGATTGGAAGACTGCTTGCTCTGAAAACATTTAAAACCTTCAAGAACATTTCTGTTAATTGCAGAGTGACTGACTCGTGGTATTTATTTTGCAGAACTGTGTAAATGAAAAGTGCAATACTCAGAAAATTTGTATACTTGGGAAAGCAAATGTCGTTAGAAAAATAATCCATCTATTCTACAGTCTGCGTACTCACCAAATTTCTTGGTTTGCTGTAAACCACCACAATTGTAGTCTGTATTGAAATTTGAGAATTAAGGGGAAAAAATGAAAAATCATTTATCTCCAGGATTATTGTGAATTTCAGTTAAAGAGTTACTCTGGACACCATGACCAATTCAGTGTTTTGAAGTGGTACGTGGAGTCTGTGTGCAGCATATCGCTTTGGAATCATCCACCATACTGGAACTAAAATTCTGTGCTGCCTAATGTATGTAATGATTGAGTGTTAAGATTGGCATCCGGTTTCTGGAGCTTTATAGAAGCTAGATGTTACAAACCCGGCTCAGAAAAGACACGACTTGAACAGGTAAGAGAGCAAACTGTTGTAAAACAGTATGCCCCATTACTGGGGTACTCCTCAATAGCTGGCTGCAGTGGTTATGTTTGGAGTAACCCTTTATCTATACATACCATGTGTCTCTATTTAGGAGGGACTCTATTTTAGACCCATATCCCTCTGTCCTTATTTTCTATCGTAATGTTTCTCTTTTCCAGGAGCTCTATATTGTTGGTGTTATTGATTGTTTAATGGAACTCCACAGCAATAATACTCATAGCAGTGTGCTTTTTAACAAAAATAAATATGCTTAGGCATCGGTCTGCTTCATTGGTGTGCACAGTACATTACATTAGCATGTGCACCCAGAGTAAATTACAACCAAACCTTTACGTAAAGAATACTAATTTTGTAGTACAATGTTCACAATTTTGCTCTGAAAATTGTGTATACAGCCCTTCAGGCTTTTTACAGCAAACACTGTATTTTCGGAGTAAAGTCAGTGTTTACATTACAGCCTAGGGATACCTCCACTAGCCACTCCTCATATGGCTTCTAAATGTGCTTCCTGGGGCAGTGCTGCACAGTGTGACTGACTTTGTGTCTCCACCCTCTGCATGGAGACACTGAACTTTCCTCAAAGAGATGCATTGATTCAATGAATTTCTATGAGAAGATGCTGATTGGCTAGGGCTGTTTTGATTGTGCTGGCTCTGCCCCTGATCTGCCTTCTTGACGGTCTCAGACAGTCTGATGGTTTCATATTGGAAAGTATTGTGATTGACTGAGAGAATCAGGCTTGATGATGTCAGCCGAGCAGGCGGATCAGGGGCAGAGCCATCAGTAGCAGACTGGGATAAAGGTACGATGTTCCTATATTTAGGGGGTAGGGAGGGGGGGCAGAGTTTGTGTTCCTGACCCTACAGTGTTCTTTTAAACATATATCAAGCTACCAAAACTCATAGAGAAGGGTCCATAGAGATCTAAATAAGGGGACAGAGACAATAATTTTGCACTTCATTAGGTTGTGTCTGGGCACACTCCTTGTGCACACCTATGGTCTGCGTAAATAAGATACCTTCAAAAACTTCTCAAATAAATTTTAGTTTCATAAATTATTTGTTTGTCACCTAAAATTCTCATTAAAGTGTCAAAAGAATACACTTCAAGATCTGTTACAATAAGATTATTTGGTCAGGGAGCTACAGTTACAGAACGGGACATATATAATTTTTTTAAACCATATTGGGCTAAAGTATCTAACCAATTGCCCATTCTCCACTCTAATCCTCTCCAGTGCCAGGTTCTGATCTCCTTGAAGAGGCTCTGATATTGATCTGCATAGTCTATCTATTAATATGTGCGTAAAATTTAGTTTTTTTTTAAAAGAAAATTATGGTTTTGTATAAAACAATTTGATCTTTAACCCCGTAAGGACCAAACTTCTGGAATAAAAGGGAATCATGACATGTCACACATGTCATGTGTCCTTAAGGGGTTAAAGCAAATAACCTAAAATATCCTCTAAAAATAAAATAGTTGCTGAATAAAATTAACTCCTTCCAACATATAAGTTTAGAGCTCTATTATTAGTTTGCCTAGTACTATACCAATTAACATGAAATGTCTTCTGCAGAAAAAAAAATATTCTAAAATAATTTTCCAGCGACGTTCATTTAAATGTTTTGGCAGGTCCGAATTTTCACTAGAAGTCTCAAAAAAATTTTTTTTAAAAATCATAATTATATATATATATATATATATATATATATATATATATATATATATATATATATATATATATAATATTTTTTAATTATTATCGTTTTTTTCTCCATGCAATTTATATAATTTTATAGTTTATCTTACACATTTTATCAATCGTATATTTATTCGTTTGATACTCAATTGGGAATTTCCTTGTTCATCTTCCCTTTCTTAAAAGCCACAGATACCCAAATAATAACACTACTGCTTGTACTTTATATGAAATTTTAAAGAACGTGAGAGAATATGGAGTTTTTCGATAACACTTTCAAAATGCTGCCACTCCGATTTTTTTATTTTATTTTATTTTTTTTTAAATAAATATATATATATATATATATATTTTTTATTTTTTTTATATATATATATATTCTAATTCTAGTACAAGAACACTAGAATTTAGTTCGAACTGTATTCGTACAGTGTTAATATTTGGGGGGCAGATGGTAATTTTAACCACAAATTAATTAACCATAGCCCTTACAAAACATATCACATCTTTTACATTTTCTTTTTCAATCAGTCCAAAAATTAAAGACCACACTTGGCCTTCGAAGCAACGTAAATTCAAATGCTCTGGTCTTGCTTTATATGGTCGGTTCCAACCGTACTCAACCTAAACATAAAAGCAATATGGTCCTGTGCTCGCTCATAAAAAGACAAGTGCCTGAGTTTACTCTGAACATATGTATATATACATATATATGAAATTAATGCAGCACATTGTCTTGGCTAGAAAATATTTACTATAGATTATGGAAAAAGTCTCGGTAGTGAACCAGTGAAATATTGATTAGTTATCTGGCTATAATAAATATTTTCGAATAGTGGAGTGCTCTGTATTTGGGTTTATTTTATTTTATTATCGGCTTGGATCGTTCTATGTATAGTGTGGAGAATTTGTATTGTAGGGTGTGTATAAATATATGCTTACCGTCAACAGTCTGTGAACATCACATTACATGTATACTGCCATGCACAGGAATGAGAGGAGAATTAATGCACATCTTGCTTACATATATGACTGGCACACGCTGATGTGTTTAGGGGTTTTAACTGTTCAAATTTCATGATTAATATAAGAAAGACCAAAATAAAAAAAATGTAAAAATGTTACGTTAATGCCTTTGGTGCAGGGAAGGGTAAAAACCTATTAACTCCAGTTTCCTACCAATCACTGTCACATGTTTTATTGTAGTTTTGTTTGGTTTTGTTACAATATTATTCCTGTTTTTAGTATTATTAATTTATCAGAAAGGTCCAGACATGTCAACCAGAAATCAGATATTTCAAACTCTGCATTATTTATTTGATGCTTTTCTTTTCTTTTTTTCTGGTTGTGTTTTTGTTGTTTTTTTGTTTTGTTTTGTTTTTTTTCTTTCCTGGTCAATTGTCTTTTATACACTTGGGATTATAAATGATGTATATGTTGAAATTAAGACCTTGAAATACTCTGTTAATTGTGCAAGTAACTGATTTGTTTTCTCCATCCTTATATTGACTTCTGGGTCTTCACTGCATAAAAATACCGTTTATAATCTGCTTGATGAAAATCTTTAGATAATGTGTGTCTTTGTATGTATGCAAATGCATGTGTTCACGTTTGTGCAAAAATGGATTTTACCAAAGGGGTGCACAGATGTCTGTTTTTAACTGGTTGCAAGTAGAGAAACAAGGGCTTAGTTCATTGGCCAAAAGTAGTCTGAGAACACTTTCAGCCAATATGCTGGCTGTGCGTGGTAGGGCTTAGCTCAGAAAAGAAAGGTACTAGCAGAACCATGCAGCTAATAGTGGTGGTAGTAACAGGGCACCAAGCAGACCCAACGTACAAAGTCAAATCATTAGCAAACAGTTTGACTATTTACATTGGCAGGGCACTCCTGGCACCATAACCTTTATAGCGTACTGTAATGGTTATGGTGCTTGGAGTGTTACTTTTAACAAGGTCTGCTTCGGGTGCTGTAGAATCCTGTTGGCTTTAGTTTTTATGTGTTTATTACACCAGCAGCTTTCTGGAACACTAACAACTAAGCTGATGTGTAGAAGCTATGGTGCTTTGGTGTGTGTGTATATTGAAATGTATGTTTGTATATTTGCAAGAGCATATTTCACTGTGTGTTTTGTAGGTAATATATTATTAGTTCCACAAGTCCTGAATTAAAAGGGCACTCCGGTCATAATAACAACCTCATCTAAATTTATGGTGCCTGGGAACCTCCTGGTAAGAATGGCTCAGGGGCCTCCTGGCACTATAACTTCATTTAGATGAAGTTGTGAGTGTGCCTAAATTGCCCCTTTTAATAGTATAACTACATCAAGTTACAAAAATACATAATACCATAATTTTTCTATTACAAAAAGCAAATAAAATCAAATAAATGGGTAGGAATGAAAAAAGGGAGCAGTGCCTTGATTGGGGTCATAATCCAGATCAATATGAAATGAGAAAGAGGGGGTAACAAAAAGAAGGGAATGTAGTGTCGTAGGTTAAAAATGTGATATAGAGGAAAAACGAAGAACTGCACTTAGTGTTGCTGTGCCTGTGCAGTACCATCCCTGCCTGAGGATATAGGCTTGATGTCTTGGTCCAATATGGTGTAGTCCAACTATATCTAAGATATTAGAACTATAACCCTAATGTAGTGTAGTATGTCAGGTGTCCAGAGTAGTGGATAAAATATGTATAAAGTACTTACTCACATTTAATGGAGCTTTCTGGTGGCTCCTTATGTAAAGCTTGGAGTGGACTAATCCCCACTCTTGGATACATGTGTGATTCCTATTCTTGAATATAATTAGGTTAAAATTCTGATTGTGGTAATCTCCTGTTATTTGAATGTATTTTCATACACAGTTTTTTGTTTTATTTTATTTATATATATATATATATATATACATATATATATATATATATATATATATATATATATTACAGTAATGACTTTAACCTACATATATCCAAGAGTGGGAATGCCACATATGTCCAAGGGTGGAGATTATTCCACTCCAAACTCTGCATAAGGAGCCATCAGAAGGCTCCATTAAATGTGAGTGTACACTTTATACATATTTTATCCACTACTCTGGACACCTGACATACTACACTATATTAGTATTATTGTTCTGTTTTTCTTGTATATCTGGACTGCACCATATTGGATCAAGACATCAAGCCTATATCCCCAGGCAAAGCAATTGGAGCTAGTTTATAGCTCCAAAGACTGTAACTGCAAATCTTCCTCCCCATAATTGTCTACTACGCTATATTCACTCCCCCACCCCCCCCTTTTTTTTGTCCTCTCTTCTAATTTCATATATATTTGCTTTGTAGGACCTCATCCAGGTGACCAATGACCTGGTAGGAGAGACTCTAGTTTTGATTGCTCAAGTTACCTTCTATATTGTACAACCAGTGCTAGAAACCTACCTATCTCTGATTTTAGAGTCCGTTAAATGTTTTCTTTGGGTGTTAACAAAACCCTGATCGGAAAAGAGAAAAAAAAAAAATCCACTCTTAAGCCAAAATAGTCATAGTGAATTCATAGCTAAATTGGCAAATTTTGTCAATTCAACTATTTTGGCTTCAGATTTGATTCCCTTTGAATTTACTTTGCATTATTGACACTTCACACTTTTAGTGACTAACCTTGGTGGATAAGAAGACAGATTGTCAACACATTTCTAACCTAACCTAAATTGAACAGAAAACCGTGTAGGCATATAAAATTGCCAAAGTTACTAAAACGGTGAAAATAGAAGTAGAAATAAAAGGTGTGTTCTTAAAATATCAGCAAAATGGTTATCCTAACATAAGGAATATTAAATTGTAACCTATTCTTATTCAGTGTCTAGGAGAGTTTTAAGGTTCTGCATAGGTGTTTCATTTATCTATCCTGAACGAAGCGCTAGCTCATAGGCTGAAAGTGCCATCAAATCACACTCAGCCAATGAATTAAGCCTTGCACAGCTGGGCTTAGCTCAAACACAGTTTCTGGTGGGTGCCAGCTCATTCCTGGTAGCATAAGCAGTCCAGCACACAGCAGTGGTTATGGTGCTTGAAGTATTCAAATAAGTATGTAGATGGACCACACTCAGACGATATGCAAGAGAATACCTAAGAAGCAATTCCTTGTTGAAAGAACCCGTGGCTATACAAAACAGACTAAAATGTATGCAAAAGGACAAGCCCCTAAGTGCTGTTATAGCGTGGTGGTGTTATGCGTGTTTCCCTAGCGACGCGGAAATGCCACAGCATCGCTATGGGAATAAGCCCCAACAAATTAAGTGGCGGTTTACAAGTAATAGGTGTGTGTGGAAAGAGGATGAATGCTTAAGTGTTGTAGGAAATACTATATACCAGATATATAATATCTCTGTGAGTGCTGCTACCTCTTTGGATACGTGGATACCAGAGCCCTGGCTATTTAGTATCCGGCATTCAAGGGACATTTAAGCGTGAGTGTAAGAAACTTTTTTTCTTTTTGTGTGTGTATATGTGTATATATATATATATATATATATATCTATATCCCTCCTATTTCTTGTGGTAGCGGTACAGCATATAATTCTTTTGCTATGGTGCTTGAAGTGTCCCTTTAAAGAATCTCCAAATGCAAAATGGAGGTGTGCTGTATAGTACCAAATCACTTTTAATTAACACACAACACAGAGCAAAAATACATAATTGGAGCATTAATAAAACTGACACTTAACATAAAATGTTTTAATAAATTACATTCAATTCAGTAGGAAATATCCAGACCATATGAGATTCCGCAGAGCACTCTAGGTTAAACACCTCCTGTTATTACAAGCTGAGTACACATAGGTTTCTGGGACACAAAGTCAAGCTGTTGATGCAAACAGATACGTTAAAATAAAATAAAGAATTTCCATGTTTTATTTAAAGGACCATTAAAGGCACCGAGACCACTTAATTGGTCTGAGTGCAGTGGTAGATTTAACACTGCAATGTAAAACATTGTCATTTTAGCACATACAACAATGCTTACATTGCAGAGTTTAACAAGCCTCCCATGACTGTCTTCCTGACACACTAGAGGCGCTCCCAATGTGAGAACTGAGCCAGACTCTGTTCTCACGGCTAACTCCATTTGATTGGAGGAGTCCTGGACATGCATGGGCTTTTTTGTCCCCAGTGCTACCTGAGGAACATTGGATTGGACGAGAACAAGAGTCAGCATGACATTGTACTAGGAGGACTGAACAGCTGCAGGTACTTTAAAAAAAAAAAAAAAAGGGAGGAAAACACTGAAACTAAATGCAAAGTGGAATACTATACCATTAGGAATACAGGTTTGTATTCTGAACGTTATAGCGTTACTTTAAATTTGAAGTTTAAATATTACAGGAATGCTCCAAAAACCATAACCATTACAGCACCCAAAAATAGAATTTTTGTAACGGGTAAGATTTGACTTTTCCCAGTACACAAACCATCCATTATCCTGCAGAGTCTGGAAAGTAAGATGAGTATTTCTTTTCAGATGAAGAAGAGAGTCCACCTTCAGAAACCGTTGTCTACATATGGGAAAACTGCAATGCCTTTTTCTCAAAGATATGCTGCTGCTAGAAGAATAATTTTCGTGACAATTCTTGGGGCCGTTGCAAGGCCAAATGGGAAGGGCCTTGAATTGAAAGTTAATTATTTTGTTTTGTGACTTAATGAATTATAGATATTTTCTCAACATTATTGCCATGAGAACATGACGGTAGACGTCTTTCAGGTTTAAGGTGGCATATAATGTCTCTAGTCTCCATCCTGAAACTTTGGTATTGAATGCATTTGTTCACATTATTTAGATCATGAAGACTGTCAAAAAGTCTTGTCTTGTTTTTGAACCAGGACAACTCTGAAGTAGACACTTCGGAAAAGCAATTTTTTGGGGTACTTTTTTGAGCATACTAATCAGGTCAGTAGTAACAAGAAATAACCAGCAAAACACCAGATGACTTCAATAAACTATGGGAAAAAAAATTTATGGTAGGTAAAATTTCTTGTTTTGCTACGTTTAGCAGCAGGAACATAACAGATTTAGTAAGATCCAATACGGGTGTCACAAGTCGCCCAAATATGCTTTAGCTGAAAATGGATATCCAGCTTGTTTTGACAAATATATTGAAGGATGACCATTTGCAACTTTACAGATGTCTTCTACAGATACGTGTGCTTTCCCTCACATGAATAGCTGTGATGTCTATATTTCTTTCTGCCCTCAGAAAGATTTGTTAGCATAGTTCTGAAAGAGTTTTTGTTCTTGTACCTGTGTCTGTCTATGTATGCTACTGTCATGATGTCTGTATTTGTACAAGTTTGAGATTAATTTCTCAGTGAAATGCATGTTAACAAATTTAAACCTATTTAGTTTAGAAAAACGTCGCCTGAGAGGGGATATGATAACATTATACAAATATATTCGGGGCCAATACAAACCATTTTGTGGAAATCTATTCACAAACCGGACTTTACATAGGACACGAGGCCATGCATTTAGACTGGAAGAAAGAAGATTTCGTCTAAGGCAAAAGAAAGGTTTTTTTACTGTAAGAACAATCAGGATGTGGAATTCTCTGCCTGAGGAAGTGGTTTTATCAGAGTCCATACAGATGTTCAAACGGCTACTAGATGCATACTTGCAAGAACAGAAT